AGGTGGGAACGTGATTCCCCCAACCGAAATGGATGCGATCATTCGCCTCTGTGTCGTAACCCCGCCTCCCGCCTCCACATTCTCTATTTTCAATTTATAGACCCCATATAACCCCTCGTAGTGCCCCCGAAGCCTGTACTTAAACACATGTCTGTTCGTTTCGAGAGTTGTTGTTAATTTTTGTTGATGTGTTTTTATTTAGATTTTTTATTATCGCGCTCGCTTTTTTTTTTGGCTTATCACTTGTCCTACCTCTCTGTCTTTTCCTCTCCCCTGCTTTTTTGTTTGCTTTAACCCACAATTAAAGTTGATGTGATCTTTGTTCGCCGCGCGGCCAATTCACAGTTAAGCCATATCAACAAAGATGGGTGCCGCGAGAAAGGGAGAGAGAGAGAGAGTAGAAAAAGAAAAAAAAATAAGAAGATGGTGGTTACGGGGGGTGTAGAAAGAGGAAGGAGACCAATAAACCTAACCTGAATCTACAACAACTGGATCTTCTGGTGGGTGACATTGCAAGCGGAAAGCGAGAGAAGGAACTGAAAGAAAGAAGCAAGTCAAAAAAATGAGGAAGAGGGAGAGTAAGGGAGACAAAGAAGCCGAATAAGCGCAAAGTAGCGCAACTTGCGGTGACAACAACAGCAATACAAATAACAACGGCAACTAGAACAACAATCGACACTGTTAAAAAAAAATGTATACAGTGAATACCAGTAAAATTGTACAAAATTTTATAAAGAAGTATGGAAGTTTTAAGGTCCCAATCTTTTCCCCCATATTCTTGGTGCATTTAAGGTGTACCAGAAGTAGTTTGATGCAAAACATTGGTTTTGGCTCTACTCATTGGCTTCCACGTTGCTCATACGTACTGTTGCCTTCTTATTAAAAAAGAATCCTAACTGACTGTCGAGTATGAGTAACTCAAATAATTTTTTTTTTTGGTTTTCAAAAAGCTTTTCTCTGACCATTTTAAATTATGTACATTCATGTAAACATAGAAATTAACAAAAAGTTAAAGGAATGAAGGAATTTTTTAGGTTAACTTGTTTTGCTTAAAGTTTCAGAAATGCTTCTTTGACATAGATTCAGTTGGAAATTTTTTTTTAGAAATTTTAATCTCTTAAACGCGAGTTGTGAGTTTTCTATTTTTGTGCAAGAGAAGTGAACTTTAGCCAGGGCCGACGGTGCCATCGGATTGCCGGTTTTGCGCGCGTAATCGATGCTGCCCATCCATCCCAACCCCCTTTCGTCACCCCTCTCTATATGTATATGTATGTAGCAACCGCTTTACGATCTTGTATTACGTGTTGGCGTTTTGCATGTTGTTGTCTCTCTGTTGTTTTTCTTTGCTTTTCTCTGGCTTTATTTGTGCACGGATCGGTTTGCCTCTTGGACCGACTGAATAATCAAGTCACAGTTCCAGTTCCACCGCCCAGAACCCCTATCCCGAAACCTCCTTTCATATCCACCCCTTCGGTCAGTGGCTCGGCACCCAGCAACAACCAGTTATATATAGACATATCCACATATACATACATATGTATATATACGAGTGTATAGGAGGGGAACCGGTTTCCTTTTACTGTCTTGCATATTTTTAGCAACAAGTTGAAAGAGTTGCCTCGCCAAATGACTACAGTCAAGCCTCTAATAGCGAACCCAAACATCTTTTGCATACACAAGTTACAAAACAAGTAAAGAAATAGATTTTTGACTAAATTACTTTCAAAAACTATCTGAAGAAAATTTAAAAATAATTAAAAAGTCTTTTTGGTATTTGATCTCTATTGCTATTTGTATTTTTCTTACGCAAAACATTAAAAACCTTAACTGTGAAAAAATTAAGAGGATGTGAATAAATATTGTGGTCTAACTAATTTAAGAAAAATACAATCAGAAATATTCACAGCATTAATAAATTCTTTTTTTAATGTTCCTTGATCAGGCACATTTGTTTAAAAAATATACTAAATCCGCTCATGGGAGTTTTTCATATTATTATTAATATAAATAAAGACAAAAGTATGATATTTTGTAAATTCAAATTATAGAATTTAGACTGTATTATCGAAGGAGTAAGGGAGATGGAAGCGGGTGGGCGGAGGGAGTGAGAGGCAGACAGTAAAATGATAATGAAAACATGTAGAAAGATCGACTGCGATCGGCATTCGCTTGTAACAAAACAGTTTGTATGCGCAAAAAAAAAGTAAAAAAAAACCGAATCGGCAAACAGAAAACAAGAAATACAATAAGAAACCCCTTGCGGCTTTTGTGGGAGAGGGAGTAGAGGAAGACAACGACAACAGCAATAAAGGCAACAACAGCCACCGCAAACATAGCGCTGCGTCATTGACGTCGGCGTCGCTAAACAATTGCCGGCCATTGTTGTCGTTGTATTTGCAGTTGTAGTTGTACTTGCGACCCCAGCGGCCCGACGTCGCCGTCAATATTGTTGTTTCACTCTCTTTAACCCCAAAAAGAAAAGGGCATGCACGAATTGTGGCTAATGATGGGGGCAGGGTTAAGAAAGAAAAAAGATCATCAGAAAAAATATGTGATAATTAAACTCCCGTTTAAGTTACTCCCAAAATTCTTACGTTTTTATTTCTAATTAAATTTTCATACAAAATTCTACGAAATTCTGATCAGTATCAGGCTTTAATATTTTTTTATTTTATTTTGGAGAAGTCAACCAAAAAGAGTTTTATCCCATAAATAAATAAATTAAATCCAATATTTATTATGCTAAGGCTTACAAGTTATTCTTGCTTAATAGAAAAAATTAAATTATGATATGGTTTTTTTGAATATATCCATGATCTGGTTTCAATAAAGTGTTTAAACTCTAATCTTAACCAATATAACCGATATAACTTTTAAAGTATGGATGTAACATGTGGTAACTTAAAATCAATGTTAAATACCAATTGTAAATAAAAATCTAAGTCACTGAAATTCTAGTAGGGTATTTCCAAAGTACTACGGTCGTTGTTTTTTTTTTTTTGGCTTATTCGGTTTTCTTTATTTTTCTTAACATTTTGTTACATTTGCTTTGCCATTCATATTTCTTTTTGTTTATTGTTGTTTCGAACAACAGACACTTGTGAGCATGGGGGGTTGGGGAGGCGACCAGAGCGCCAGAGGGAGATGCAAACACAATGGCCACACTTTGACCCTGACTTTTAATGTGTACATTCGCCGTCTCGCTTCCCCCCGCCACCCGTCTTGCTCTCTTATGCTAAATTATTGTTATTATTATGAATTGTGCTCCATGCATTTGTTTCGTTGTTTGTGTTTGTATTTTTGTGGTGTTGTCTGCTGAACACTAAAGTATGATTAATTGACCCGAGGTTGGCCGGCGCACTTTAGCACATTTTTCCCCAGTCCTACCTATCCCCATATTTAATCTGATTTTCCTGTAAGGCTAATTTGCCTTGGCAACCGGAGATCCTTTGATCAAAGAAATTATATATAGGTTGTGAGTTTTACTAAGCCCCCTCCTTTTCATGTACATGTAAATCATACACTTGTAGTCACAAGTTTAGTAGTTCTTAAAAAAAAATTAAATTCAAATTAAACCATCAAAACAAAGTAAAGAATTAGGGCCTTCAAATTCTTTGATTGCAAAAAGATCACGTGTAATATTTCTTACATAAGACCCAATTTTGCAAACAATATTAGTTTAATAGTTGTTTTTAATGGAGGGGACACCCTCATGATCCGAAATTGTTTGTTAGCTTAGCCAGTAAAAGAAATGAATTCTCTTGTTATCCAACCCAATTTCTCTAGATCTCCATAAGGTCTGCTGGGACTTAAAATTCATCCTTTGGCTTCATCTTTTCGTATCCGAAAAATACATAAAAATACTAAATATATTATATTGTTTATTATTGTGTTGCTAAACAAACATTTTAAGCTTGTAAATATATGTTATTAAAGTCATTTCTCAATCTGCGAAAATAAGTTTAGATTCGAAATTGCCGTGATCTAGCTAATCCTCTTCCTTGAATCCTATTTGGTTTTTTATATGTTATATATAATTTAACGAAAATTATTTGGATGATTAAGTGTCTTATGTATTTTTCTCATAGCTGCAAGGGTATATAAGCTTTGGTCTAATTCTGTTTTAAAAACTTTCAATTTGCTCCCTATTTTATTGCTATTAACTGTATGCCACATGTTGATACTTGTATAAGCTGCTCTATTTACGTTTAATCGGTACACGTGGGGCAGGAAAAGCGCACTAATTGTGGTAAGCTCTTCTTTGGCTTTTTTCGCTGATAGCGCATGAAACCTTAGCTTAAGTAAGTGCGTCAATAAAATTGCAACCAACAGCTTAGGCACATCATCAACTCGTGCAAGGATTTATACTCTTATCAGCCCGAAAGTATGCCAATTAAAATTTTAACGCAAATTCAAATGCGCCATACGTTTTTCTCAACCTCCTTTTCGAGGAAATTAAATCTAAATTGAACAAAAAGCTAAAGAAGTGCAGTAATTAATGAATTCGACGTTTAAGACCCTTATTAATTTGCATCACAGCTAAAAATTAAAATAAATATTCTTAGTTGATCAGAGTTTAAGTAACACTTAAATAAAATCTCTACAAGATATCTAGTTTCGATGTATTTCTATATTTTACAAAGATCGTCCTCTTCCTTGAAGTATGATCCCAAATGAGTTTCCGTAATAAACTTTTAAAGAACAATTTTATTAGGAATAAGGATAAACTTTTGAAAATTTACTAATTAGTGGGAAGCGAGATGTTAGAAAATTAAAGATTACTTAAGATCATAAATAATAGAAGCAGGGATGCAAATTAGGTAATCTATCTTGACAAGTTCCAGCCTGGAACTTTTTTCAACCCCAGCTGAATACAAATATCAGAATGCTCTTACAGTAGCTTTAGAATCCCTATTTATAATTCCCCTGATCAATCTGTAGATAGCACCCTTATATCTAGACGATGCCTCAACCAATATATAATTAAGATAGATTTTAGATTTTACATTTTGGATTTTCATTTTATTATTAGGTATTTCGAGTTACCCTATCCAGAACGGGGTACAACTAGTTCAAGTCATGCTTTCTTAATACTACAAAAATAAAAAAGTTTGGTTAAAAAAAAAAACAAAGAGAGGAAAAGAAATAACAAACGAAGGGAACTGCGGATGATTTTTTAGGGATCCCTGGACAATGGTCTGTAGAGGATTACTATATGGCTCCGGATGATATCCAATGGGATCACTAGGTGATCAATCGTCCATTGGAAACCTAAGCATTTCGCACTCCGCGCAGCTCCTTATCGGCTTTCTTCAGGGTGATAAAGTTGTTAAGCGCCTTGACACGCAATTTCGACCAGACCATAAAGTTGCCCAGTCCCAGGATGGTGGCCGCATGCAGAGCAGCTGCCTCCGGATAGAGGACCGTGGCACAGCCCAGGCCCGATGGCAGATTCAAACTGGACCACACGTCCACCTGCATATTGTCCGATTTCACGGGCGGGCAATTGATCACCGGATAGTTGGTGCTGCCGGAAACGACGGGACCCAGACCATTTGATCTTCCGGCCACTGCTACAAAGATCAGGTTGCTCATCACCGACTCATATTCGCGGACAATGCGCAACGTCTCCTCCGGTCCCTTGTGGGCGGAACTCACCCGGAGTTCCACATTCAGGCCCAAGGATCGACAGCTGGTGGCAATCTTCTCGCTGTGCGAAGTATCTGAGGCGCTGCCCATTAGAACCACCACCAAATGGTCCTTCTTTGGCACAATATCGGCCAGTTGTTCGGCCACCCAAATGAAGTTCCTCTTGACCGTATCCAAATCACTGGCAGTTACGGATGCCAGATTGCGATACACCTGCTTGTCCACCATCAATCGCTTATCACCGGCCGGCCACAGGCGCCAAGAATCGGAGTCAATAATATCCGCCAGCACAATATTGCCATCGTCGCACACACCGAACTCCACTTTCATGTCGATAAGGGCGCAGTTCTTTGTCTGCCACGCCCTTTCGAGAATCTCAAAGACGAGCAGAGTGGTTCTACGCATTATGTCCACCTCATCTTGACCTGTTTTGCGTTAAAAATGCATGGGTAAGTTGATATTTAATAAAGGAATGAATGAAAAGACTCACCGATCAATAGGCCATTCAGCTCGAACTTGGCCGACACGATCTGCTCCTCGCTCCACTGGGGATCGTGGTTGGCATCATCCTTGAAGAACGTCTCCTGTTTGGGCGGTGAGAATCTGCAAAATGTAGTTTTCATTTTATTTATTTGCTTTGTTACAATCAACAATTCATTTTTATTTTTTTTTCACAAAAACTGCAAAGATTAAAATACTTATAAACCGTTTTTAATCTTTAAGATACACATATTTGGTTTTTAGAACCAGATATAACAAAATTTCTATTATGAAACACATTTAAAGTCGAAATTTGCATGAAATTTGTCTAAGCTTTGTGGAAAATAAGATTTGCATAAAAAGTTAAATTTAAAATAAAACTAAAATTATTTTTTTTATTTTAATTAAATTATTAAAGCAGTGGATTTTGTATTTACTTGATAGTTTAAAATAATCTATCTGATATTATATTATTATCACAAATTAAAATTATATATGCCATTATGTTTGTCACCTTAACACGACTTTGTATTGTATTGCAAGGAAATAGACTAGAATTATTTTTAAATTCAGTTCAAGTTTTAATAAAAGTTAACCGAAATTAGTTTTATCCCACAAATACTTTATGTAAAAACCTCATAAAGGCGGAGCTGTTGGCAATGCTCTATGATTAAAGCCACAAATAGGCATGTTGCCTTGGATTGAAATCAAGTGACATGGGGTTTGCGGAGATCGGCGATGCATTGACGAAAATCCGGCTCGAATTACAGATTCCACAATGCGATTTTGATGACTTTAGCAACGTTTTGTTTCGAGGGGTAAGGGGTATGGGGAATACATCTATCTGGGCTTATCAGCGATTGTTGACCCGGCCTCAGTGCATCGGATTGCAGTTAAATTTGTTTACCGCAAGCGGGCCCAGATAAGAGAGATCGAATCGGTTCGTTTCGTTTCGGATTGGGTGATAACCCCAGCCACAGATGTACACCCACTGTTACCATACCAACCTGTAGCCCTCGGGCACTCCAACATTCCGCTTGAGGAACGATCCGGTGGCCAGGCGTCGAGTCACCCATTCGATGGGTATCATCTGGCACTTGCGGGCTATGAAGGCCTTGGCGCCACACTGCTTCACATAGGCGGTGCGAATTCCTGGTAAAAATAAGGTAAAATTATATGAAAATCATATTATTAACCACTTTCGTGTATTATTTGAAACTTTTAAAATAATTGTTTTAGGCTACTATCATATTTAACTGATCAGATACAGACTTGAAAAACATTCAAGGCACTAAATTTTATAACAAAACTATCAATAGTTTAAATATTTAATATGATCCTTTAAAAACTGAATAACGAACTGAAAGTTTAAACCAAACTGCCTTTTATTAGTTAAAACCTGATGAAAACTATGTATATAGCTGTATATTCTATATTATATAAATGTATAAGTATACTCACCGGCCTCGTTGAGCAATCGGAAAACCTGGCCGTTGGTGGTGTTGGAGATCTCTGCCTTGCCCGCCAGATCATGGGCCTTGACTCCATCTCCCGCGGTGATGCGATCCTTGCTGAGGAGCAGACATAGTCCCGGCTGTTCGGGAAGGTCGTACACCTGCTTGGTTTTGCCCTCGATGAGGACCTTGCCCAGCTTGTATCCCTCAACTGTGGAAATTTGAAAAATATATTAAATTAAGGATCTATATCAGGTTTTCTAACAATAATATTTTGTTAAAGCAAAATTATCAGACTGAGTTAAGAAGCTAATATTTTTTTGTGCACAATAATACAGGTCATAATATAATCAACATCAAAAATACTTATTCATAGTTTTCCAGTATAGGAAATATAATTTTTATTTTGGCGAAGAATTTTACTTTTTGCAATTAAAGAAGTCACTCTTATGAAGTGATTACTAAAATAATAATTATTGCTTATAATTTGTTAACTGGGGAATGCACAGAATAAGCTGAATTTGATATGTTACAATTGTTTGTGTGTTTGGGGCTGTTTATATTGGAGGAAACTCGAGATCTGGATAACTTACTGGATGCGGTTGTTGTGGCTGCGGTGGACATCTCGAAATTAAAACCAATTGGCGTCTGCTGTTTCACGTGTTGCGCGCTTTGCTTTGTGCTCGATATTCGCTTGTGCTTTTGCTTTGCTTCCCCTCTCTTCTCTCCCTGTTTTCCTGCCTGTTTTTTTGCTTATTTTTTTAGTAACGTTAACTCCGCCGCTCGTCTGATTCGAAGAATCGCTCCAAAGCAACTGAACGTCAACAGAATCGCCGGCGCGACTTTATGGCTCGATTTTCTTATCGCCGAAACCACCACCAATACACAGAGATCGTATAAACATTAGCCTATATGTGTGTGTGTGTGTGCGTGCGTGCGTGTGTGGGCTTAGAAACGAGTATAATGCTGATCGGTAATACCCTGCAATCTTCAAGTTGCTAGCTAATTTTAGAAATTAATTTTGGTATTGTGTAAAGCTTTGTTTTTATAATGCAACTCGATGGCTGGATTTTTTGGCGGTCTGGTTACCTTTCTCTTTGTGTTGGTGACCTAACTCCACTTTGTGGGTATTCTTTTTATTTTAATGACCTTTTGACCCTATTTTTCTGGGGACCCTTTCTCCTTATGGTGAATTTGTTATCGTCTTTTTAACCCTTTTCTTTTCTTGGTTGCCAATTTTCTCATCTTGTAGATCTATTTTTACCTTCCAGGTGACCTAACTTCACTTCCTTTTGGGCCTTCTTAGATTTGGGAGCCAATTTCCCCCGTTAGTTATCCCTAATTCTCTTCGCGTTGGCCCAATTTCGACTCTTTATGACCTTCTTTCCCACCTTGGTGACCCCTTTTCGCCCCTTGGTGACCCTCTGACATGAGCCACAGAGGGTGACCCTCTGAACAGAGCCAAAGGGGAGAACTTTGTGGCTCTTGTCATTTTGGTTAACCTCTTTTCTACCTTTTGGTGACCCCTTTCTCTCTACTGGTGACCTTCCTTGTCCTCTATCTTTCACTTGTACCTCTAAGTACTCCATAAAAATTAAATTTTTTGATGGATTGAGGGAATAGAATCAAAGTAGTTTTTTTTTTGCAAAAACAAATGCAATGGTTTCGCTATGCAACGACAACAACAACTAGCCAAGACTTGTTAATCATGCGTTTTGTGCTTTATTTCAGTTGTATTGTGTTGCCTAGAACCGCAGTCGGGTAATTTCGATCGAGTATAATGCTGATAGGAGGTAATACCCTAGGAGTTTTAAGTGTTCACTAATTTTACAAATAGTTTTGGTTATGTCTCAAAGATTTGTTGAACAAAATTACCCTCTTACGAACTTTACGCTCAAAAAAAAAAAAAAACTCAGTCCTCCACCATTTGACCATTTAGTGTGGGAAATTTAATCACGGGCAGAATTTGGCGCTGCTGCTGCTGATTACCCTCGTCCATTAGACGCTGGATGAGTTTGGCAATATCCTCGCGTTTCTTGGTAACCGTGAGCAGATCAAACCAGTTGGCCAGCGTCTTGATGGGCAACCTGTAGTCTCTGATCGGCTGGGTGAAGAATTGCTCCACATACTGCAGCAAATAGAGGCCGCAATCGGTGAGATTCTCCTGCTGCGGCACCTCGACACGATGACCGGGCATGTTATCCGAGTTGAAGACGTGCGCCTGCGCATTCGGCTTCCTAGCCTGGTACTCGCAGGTAAGATAATCCCGCAATATGGCTAGTATACGACTACGAGATGTGCCCGTCAAGGAGTCGAATACGAGGATCAAGGGTTGCTTCACCGCCCTGTCATCACCTAAATCCTCGCCAACACCATCACCGTCATATGGCACAGAGCCCCTCAGGCTTGGAAAGCATATAATTGCCAGTATCCAATGGGCCTGATGGTTGAAGGGTACGATTATGAAATCCTTATCAAAAATGTCCACCGTACGGGTCCATTTTTGAACCCTTTCGTGACGCTTTTGAGCAGCCGTTTGCTTTGTGTTCATCGGACGCGTCAAAGTCGTCAATCTCTTGTGGAAAAATGTGCTGAATATATGTATTCTATCGCGCTGAGCCTCTGGTATCACCGTATTCTTGAGCCAAAGAAGGTAAAAGTCTATTATAATGTCGTTTAAATATGTGCCACTGCTGAGGCACACATAATCCTTCATGTTGATGCACAAGCCGCCGGTTCCCGTGGGCGGATAGATCAACAAAGTTACATCCTCGTCGACGGACAGCTGTCGCGGCTTTTTATCCTGCGGCTGGGCCGTCAGTTTCAGTCTTTCCGATGTGGCATTCTTCTCCGTTTGCCCCTCATCGGTGGTCTCCTCATCCTCGCTGCTGAGGAGCACCACCTCATCATCACTCTCAAAGTCCCTGCTTAGCATCCACTTGCGATTCCTGCGCAGGCGCCTCTGTTCTGCCAATTCTTCGGGTGAAATTGGTGGTTTACCCGACGAACTGGCATTTGCCGAGTATCTGAAAACACGCGTTGCTGGCAGGACGTATCTCTTGTCCTTTGGAGATGCTGGTTTACCGTTGGTAGAGTTGCTCTCGCTGAGTTTTGGACGCTTGTGGACACCTTCAACTTGCTCCTGCGACTGACTGGTTTGGGAATACTGGGGATCAGCTGGTTTTCCACCCGTAGAACTGGTTTCTTCGGTCTTCTGGCCGTTAGAGGCACCAGCGGTCATCTCCCTAAGCATCTCCTCCGCCTGGGCAACCATCTCGGCAGCCGGTGCGTTAATGGTGAAACCGACAGAGACCACCACATGAATATTGCCACCGGGATTCTCCAGGCAATCGATGGTGGTACTCTCATTGAAGTTAACGCCCACCTGCTGCAATATATCCTGAACCGTGCAGGATACACTGGGCAACGTCATGGTGATGATCTTCTGCTCACCGCTTTCCTGGATCACCAGCATCTTGGCACACCGCCTATTCTGATTATGCCGGCTAGCCCGATTGATAAGCAATTGGCGTGTGAGGATCATATAGTCGTTCAGGGAAATCCGACGAACTGCTGGATCCCTTGTAAAAGGACGATCAGGATATTGTTGTTGTTGTGGTCGCTGAGTAGATGCCGCCACCTCCCGCTCTTCCCGCTCCTCCGCCGCCGAAATTGCCCTTCTGCGTTTCATAATTCGTGCGCACATATATCAGTTATGGTTTATAATTACCATATAGACATTATAGACTCCTGAATCCCAAAGTTTCTGGAATCGATTGAAAATTCCCGGGCTGCAGTTGGTTTTTTTTTTGTTTTCAAGAAAAAGTTAAACAAGTTGTCAGTGGTCTGTTGATTTGGTTTTGACCGGCAAATGCATTTTTTAATTTTTCTACATTTTTCAGCATTTACCTCGAGCGGCGGATCCGGTCTTTCGGACTCCTTGACTTCCAAAGACTTAAGTTTTCCTCTTTCAAGATTTTGTAAACGGCGTCGTATTTTCAAGTGTTGCAAAAGTTCGACGATTAGTGGTGTATCCTAAACATCTGTGCGCTGCCCTATCGATATCGTATCTTTATATGTATCGATATCTTTTTTTTTGCTAATTTTGTCACTCACGATTTTTGGATTATTTAGGGTCTTTATTGCATCACTTTTCAAAAACTAATATCGATAGAATTCAAATTAAAATAAGTTAAAATTATATTTTTTAGAAAAAAAAGAATTATTTGATATTATGAAGCAAAATTTACGCATCGATTAATTTAGTATAGTATAGTATAGAATACTACAGTCGTTAATAAATTTTGGTACAGGTATTCTGTATTACGGATAAATTCTATATAATTTTAAGACAGTTTAGGAAAATGATAGAAATGTTAGAAGATTTTAGAAACATAAAAGAACTTGGCGACTACAAATTAAAGATTGATTATGGCTTATTGATATTTCTGAAGACAAATGGTTTGTTCGCTTTCTATAAAGTTATAAGTTATAAATCGATTTTGAAATATATATATGTTAAAAAATAATTAAAATATCAAATCTTTATATATTATTTATATATATATCCAAAAGTATGAAATTTGTTATTTCAAATTTATACAATTTAAACATACTATAACGTACTTGTTTATATTATAGTTTTGCGTCCATCATCCATCATGACCCCACACGGATCGTTCGGAGATAACAAAATCAAATGTAAACAAAAATATTTTTGTTTTTGTTTTTTCCAAGACTGCCTTTATAAAAATAAAAACGGTTCCCCGTTGCCTGACACACGTTTTCCGCAGGCTAAAGGGCGATTTCGCATTTACATTGATTTGGTTGCCAAGTGCATAAAATCGCATTTAAATCATAACTTGCTGGCTGTCAGCAAGCTTGCCAAGTGTTTGAGAAGTATATAATTTTTTGCTTGTGTTTTTAGGAAGAGGAAGTGGACTGAGACAGAGCATAGCATTACTTTTACACTTTTCAATTTATTTAGAAATTAATTTTAATGCAAATATAATGCTTATATTTTCGAATTTTGTTTATTATTATTATACTGTTTAACTTAAAGCGCATTGTTCTCAACATTAATTGTATTCGATTTAACTTATAATGTTAAAAGAATTTTTTTTAATTTTAAATTAAAATAATAAATTTTTTACATAGGTTTTTTAAAAATTATTTGTAGAACAACAATGCTTATAAATCAAATTTTAACTATGGTTAAGTCACAATTTTTTTAATTTACTATGTAAATGCTTAGCAAGGGCACTAACCAACATTGTTGGATTTTATTGTGGACACACACCTATCGTACTATCGATAATCATTTTGTATGGATTAAGGCCGCTCATTTCATTTGCAATTCCTAAAAAGGATCGAGCTTGAACTTAGCCGTATGGTTTACAAAAGTTTACCAAAGATAACAAATACGTCATTTAACTCAACATGATTTAAGTTTAAGGATTAGATTTAAAATATTTTTTAATTAGAATGTAACAGTAATTTAAATTAGTTTGAAAAATTATTGTTCATTTTGCAGCTTATTTTTCCTATGATTTGTGGTATTTTCTGTTGTATCGATACTTATCGAAAACTGTGGCAGGGTATCGAATATGTGCGAGGTGGTTATCGTCCTCACGCATAGTGACGTCACAAGCTCGATGGACCTGCGCTTCAATTGGAATCGAAATCGCCGTGTGACATCGGCTGCGCAACGTTGATGTCGCCCAGTGGTGTCGGCAAAAAGATTTTGAGGGTTAAAAAGTTCCCCACCCTTTAAGGATCTCAAAATACTTCATATTTGGTTTTTATAAATTTCTTCTGATACTTGAAAATAATAAATTGCAATAACATTGATCATAAAATATACAAAATGTAAGCATATAATCGAAAATAAAATGTGAAATAGAACCCCTTACGAATTCCTGCGTACGCCACTGTTTCCGCCACACGCTTTTCGCCGTCGCCTCGCTTTTTTGTTTTGTATTTCGAATTTCGCCTTTTCGCCTCAGTTGCTCAGAAAGTCGCGCGAACGCCGGTAACGGAAATTCTCGCAAAAACGCAGCGTTTTCGCGTCGCCGTCGACGTCGGCGTTGTGTCGTCGCCGCAACAACAACAATAAAATATAATAAAAAAACCTAATCCCTTTTATTAAAATCTACAACAAAAAGAAAACCAGCTAACAACAAAAAAAAGTGAGAACTCAGTTTTTATGCCTTCTTGTTGTGCTAGTAAATTCCTCTCTGCCGCAATTGTGTTATATTAAAATTGTTTAATTTAATTGGAAAGCAGGCGAAAATTGTATTTATTTATGCTTATTTTATGTGTGTGTGTGTGTGTAATAGTTTTTCTTTTTGTTTTTTCTATTATCCTTGGCGTGTCTGCCGCTCTCTTTCTTCCTCTCTTTCGCCCGCTCTATTCGTGCAACCCCATATTACCGTTTTTTTTTTGCTTATTTTGTTTTCTGCCAGATGTGCTTAGAAAAAAAGAGTATTAACCCTAGGTGGACTTATTTGCAACATCAAGTTTATTTAATTTTTGTAAAAAATGTACTTTATTAAGTTAATATTTAAAATTTATAACAATAAATATTGTAAATATAAATTTACTTATGTATGTATATATAGTTTCTTCAAATTGGTGTTATAAATGTGTTTCCTTGTCATTTCTTAAAAAAAATATTTTTAAATGTCAAGGTAAATAAAGTCAATCAGGGACTAAAATCAAAAATAAGAAGATTTATGGATCTAAATAAAAGTGATAGGAAAACCGACAGTTTCCCGCAATGTAAATAATTTATTTAGCACTCAAATAGAAATTTTGTAACTGATCAATTAATTTTAATAAAACACACTTTTTTTTTTGCCTTTTCCTTCGTTTGTTTTGTTTCGTTCTTCGCCGCTGGGCGCAAATTTAAATTGATTTTTTTCTCTTTCTTATGGGCTGCTGTGTATATGTATGTGTGTGTAATGTTGTGGTTTGTTGCACTCTCATAATTGCCCTGTTAATAGTTGAATAAAAGAAAGAGAACAAGTATAAGTAAAAAGGAATGGGAGAAATGGCGTGCAGCGCACTCCAATCGCAAGATCTCCATTTTTCCCCTTTTTTTTATCACCACTTATCACTTTATTAAGTTAACCATAACAAAAGAGTGGTGCTTGTAAAACTGTAAAATTAACCCCTTAATAACTGTTTTATTTCTCCCCTTTCGTACAACTTTTTTAATTTAAAGGTTGATTTTAATATATTTACCATGGAAACTAAACATGTTATTATTAATAATGTTAGTTTTATACGTTTCTTTTCATTAGAATTATTGAATTGAATTATTATTTAGTTTAAACATATATTACATATTTAAAGATCTCTATAAATTTTCAATTTTCTCCTTTTCAGCACAACGACAGGAAGCACATAGCCACACACAACTCTCACCTAAAAGACTGCAATCTGCCTTAACCAGAGGAGCAAGAGAAAGAGGGAATATAAAGATATACATATAGGGGAGGAAAAGGAGTGGAGAAAGTGAAAAGGGGAGGAAAGTCCACAGATTGATTCTAGCACGATCCGGATCTGAATCGGACCCAGTAATTCGAATCCCAGTAGAAAAGAATCAAATATCAGCATTACAATCGGGATCATTATGAGTTCGTTTATCGAGCTGCTGGGACTTTTCCTGCTGTTGATGCTGCCTTTTCTCTACGAGACTAACCACATATTCCGATACTACTTCAAATTCATGATGTACTACGGCATCGTATCCTTCAACTCGATCGTCCTCATCCCGGCCTTCCTCACGCGACCCTGCGATGTCCGCAATCTACTGTGAGTAGGCCAAAATATATATTAAATCATTATTATCATTGGTTAGATATGGGACACAGTAGTCACAACAGGAAAACTGATATAATTGATATTTTTTATAATCTATTGTATAGCTATATTATATATCCTAATCTCTTATCAATAGTTTATCTTGATTTTAAAATCTTAATTAAAAGTATATGGAAACATACAAGAAATAATAGAGAACACAAACTTTTGTCAGAAACGAAAATCTCACTTTGCTATCAACATACACATTTTGATTAACCGCAGAACGATTGTCTCGAATATCAATAAAGATCTTAAGTGACTTGATGTCAATCAGCGCACAGTGCAGACTACGCCAAACATTCTAAATTGATCAATTGGTAGTAAAAATATTTGAATTAAGCTTAAAGATTTTTTTTCCAATTAACAATATGGTAGAAAAGTATTTTTTTAAACGTAGATTTTTAGAATCGTTGAGTAGTGCTTTAAAATATCTTACACATATTTTAAAAGATTACTATAATTTTCAAGTACTACTGGTAAACCCCTAAAATTGTGGTTATTTTTCAGTTGTGATTTGATCTGAAAAGGAAAAACATTTTTAAGAACTCGTTTGTTTTAAGCAAAATATCGATTTTAAAACAAAATCTTCTTTACTTGATGTATGTTATGCATATGGGGCATGGTATTTCTTATGCAAATCAATCCATTTAATGAAACAATTTTCCTAATCGCTAACTGGCATCACACCCCCCACCTGACCTGTTAAATTACTTTAGACAATCAACTAGGGCCCTCAAATTGCCGGTAAATAATGCATTTTCTTGGTCTGACAATCTGATAGAGAAATGAAAAAATCACTTTATTGTAACCAAAAAAAAAAGACATAATTGCTGCCAATGCTCAAAGACTGATGATGGTTGATTTCGATTCTGATTCACCTGTTTACAAGGAAGGATTCCTTGAGCTCCCAAGGCGACTGCGTCAATGACACATACAACTTTTATTGGCTATCAATATTAACAAGGCCCCAAATGCGGAGGAGTGACTGCAGGTGTCCGCAATCCAATTCTGGTCAACTGTCCGCCAAGGTTTCAGGTTGTCCGAGAAGCTTTACCCTTGTTGGTAATATTTACGATTTCTTTTGCACTACAAAAAATAATAAAATACTTTAGATATCTGTTTTAACTTGTATCTGAATAATCGCTGTTGAAACTGTAATATAAAGTTTCAACTAAATCTTTTGAAATATTTGTAAATATAATGACTTTAATCAAAAACCACATATAAATCGAGTTACGCTCATTTTTTACTATGTTAACCTTTTTACGAAATATCCTAAGATAACTATTTAATGACTTACGTGTTTTTTTTTATTATTCTTGGAAAATATACGATTTATATAGATTTATGGTTCCATACAATTATGTTTATGGTGTTCTTTTTTTTTTACCGATTCCGGCATCGGATATTGAGCTTTTGACGAATATATTTCCGATTGGTTAATTTAACAACGGAGATAAGGCGTTTATTGCTCACTTACGGATAATTGGTGACCAAGGTGTTGCCTCGATTGTTGCTAGCGAGGCAAACTAATTTTTCATATAGATAAGATCATTCGGGTATTATAAATCAATCAGTTATTGAAGATTTACTAAACACAAATTTGAAATTTTTCTTAAAAAATACATGGATTTGTTTTTCTAATTTATCTAACATATTTTCATACATACAAAATATCATAAAACAAGTTCGTGATTTTTGTTTTTAGTGTTTTCTGCTTGTGATTTTTAACTGAGGCGGTATCGCCTGGGTGTCAGGCCAAGGACGAAGTTTTCGGGGGGAATTGAATTGGATGGTTAGGTGCTTGAGTTTCCAGGCTGTTGGATATGGGGAAAGGTGGCTGTTGCACGCCAATGGAAAACCCATTTCTGTACCCAACGAGGTTAATTTTTGGTATGTGGTTAGTGCACTTGCTAGAATTTCCCGCCACCTCAACGTTTTCCCTCGACTCAAATAACCATTTGCATTAGACAACCATGAGTGTTTGATATAGGGGTTGGGGGGTGGATGATTAAAAGTCTAGTGGTCGCGCATATACCACTCATCTGAATCAATTATGCCGCTCTAACTATTTAATGCAGTTTATCGATCCGTTGTTGGAGGTAAGAAATAAACCAGAATTCCCAGTAAACACAGTAAACACGGCAAGCCCTCCCTGGGGTATCATTTAAACCGCTCCCGAGCTGTGTTTAAGTGTCATGACTGTGCCGATTGGACAATGAATGTGATAGAATGGGTGCCTTCCCTGCGACGGGGGAGAAATCAGAGCTACGCTTCGATGGCTGTCAACTTGATTAAATAATATTGGATTTACAATTGGCTTTGCTTAGGGTTCATTTCATTACGGCTAATTATCAGTGGAGGAAATGTTCTATGAACTTTGATCGGGGAAAATGAATAGAAACAAGAATATCACCCTGTTTACCACCCTAAAATATAAGTGGGGGATTTTATGTTCATTTTGTTGACAGACTTCATGTGGTCGTTAGAGATATTCCCAGATATTTTACTAAAATGGTTTGGCACACGTTTTCGACAATAAATATTTCATAACATATGTTTGCATATACCACCATATATTCCATTATTATACCCGATTTGAAAGTGTCATTCATACCTCCTAAGACTTGTGGTATGATTCTCAAAAAATCTGCATTCAAATTTTTCATTTTAACGTTGGTCAAATTTTTGACCCATTTTCATGTCATTTATTTCCAAGTTTACGATGTGTTGTTAAAAGGTGACCCACAGCTGGATTTCCGGAGTCCATAACTTTTCCAAATTTTATCAGATTTGAAAGTGGCATACCTCCTAAGACTTGTGGTTTGATTTTCAAAAAATCTGCATTCAAAATTTTCAATTCTATGTTGATCAAATTTTTGACCCATTTTCATGTCATTTATTTCTAAGTTTCCGATGTGTTGTTAAAAGGTGACCCACAGCTGGACTTCCGGAGTCCATAACTTTTCCAAATTTTATCCGATTTGAAAGTGGCATACCTCCTAAGACTTGTGGTTTGATTCTCAAAAAATCTGCATTCAAAAATTTCAATTTAACGTTGATCCAATTTTTGACCCATTTTCATGTCATTTATTTCAAAGTTTCCGATGTGTTGTTAAAAGGTGACCCACAGCTGGACTTCCGGAGTCCATAACTTTTCCAAATTTTATCAGATTTGAAAGTGGCATACCTCCTAAGACTTGTGGGTTGATTTTCAAAAAATCTGCATTCAAAATTTTCAATTCTACGTTGGTCAAATTTTTGACCCATTTTCATGTCATTTATTTCTAAGTTTCCGATGTGTTGTTAAAAGGTGACCCACAGCTGGACTTCCGGAGTCCATAACTTTTCCAAATTTTATCCGATTTGAAAGTGGCATACCTCCTAAGACTTGTGGTTTGATTCTCAAAAAATCTACATTCAAAATTTTCAATTCTACGTTGGTCAAATTTTTGACCCATTTTCATGTCATTTTTTTCTAAGTTTCCGATGTGTTGTTAAAAGGTGACCCACAGCTGGACTTCCGGAGTCCATAACTTTTCCAAATTTTATCCGATTTGAAAGTGGCATACCTCCTAAGACTTGTGGTATGATTCTCAAAAAATCTGCATTCAAATTTTTCATTTTTGATTCTCAAAAAATCTGCGTTCAAAATTTTCAATTTAACGTTGATCCAATTTTTGACCCATTTTCATGTCATTTATTTCAAAGTTTCCGATGTGTTGTTAAAAGGTGACCCACAGCTGGACTTCCGGAGTCCATAACTTTTCCAAATTTTATCAGATTTGAAAGTGGCATACCTCCTAAGACTTGTGGGTTGATTTTCAAAAAATCTGCATTCAAAATTTTCAATTCTACGTTGGTCAAATTTTTGACCCATTTTCATGTCATTTATTTCCAAGTTTACGATGTGTTGTTAAAAGGTGACCCACAGCTGGACTTCCGGAGTCCATAACTTTTCCAAATTTTATCCGATTTTAAAGTGGCATACCTCCTAAGACTTGTGGTTTGATTCTCAAAAAATCTGCATTCAAATTTTTCATTTTAACGTTGATCAAATTTTTGACCCATTTTCATGGCATTTATTTCCATGTTTCCGATGTGTTGTTAAAAGGTGACCCACAGCTGGACTTCCGGAGTCCATAACTTTTCCAAATTTTATCCGATTTGAAAGTGGCATACCTCCTAAGACTTGTGGTTTGATTCTCAAAAAATCTGCATTCAAATTTTTCATTTTAACGTTGATCAAATTTTTGACCGATTTTCATGTCATTTATTTCCATGTTTCCGATGTGTTGTTAAAAGGTGACCCACAGCTGGACTTCCGGAGTCCATAACTTTTCCAAATTTTATCCGATTTGAAAGTGGCATACCTCCTAAGACTTGTGGTTTGATTCTCAAAAAATCTGCATTCAAATTTTTCATTTAAACGTTGATCAAATTTTTGACCCATTTTCATGTCATTTATTTCCATGTTTCCGATGTGTTGTTAAAAGGTGACCCCCAACTGGACTTCCGGAGTCCATAACTTTACCAAATTTTATCCGATTTGAAAGTGGCATACCTCCTAAGACTTGTGGTTTGATTCTTAAAAAATCTGCATTCAAATTTTTCATTTTAACGTTGATCAAATTTTTGACCCATTTTCATGTCATTTATTTCCATGTTTCCGATGTGTTGTTAAAAGGTGACCCACAGCTGGACTTCCGGAGTCCATAACTTTTCCAAATTTTATCCGATTTGAAAGTGGCATACCTCCTAAGACTTGTGGTTTGATTCTCAAAAAATCTGCATTCAAATTTTTCATTTAAACGTTGATCAAATTTTTGTCCCATTTTCATGTCATTTATTTCCATGTTTCCGATGTGTTGTTAAAAGGTGACCCAAAGCTGGACTTCCGGAGTGCATAACTTTACCAAATTGTATCCGATTTGAAAGTGGCATACCTCCTAAGACTTGTGGTTTGATTCTTAAAAAATCTGCATTAAAATTTTTTATTTTACCGTTGATCAAATTTCTGACCATTTTCATGTCATTTATTTCCATGTTTCCGATGTGTTGTTAAAAGGTTACCCCCAACTGGACTTCCGGAGTCCATAACTTTACCAAATTTTATCCGATTTGAAAGTGGCATACCTCCTAAGACTTGTGGTTTGATTCTCAAAAAATCTGCATTCAAAATTTTCATTTTAACGTTGATCCAATTTTTGACCCATTTTCATGTCATTTATTTCCATGTTTCCGATGTGTTGTTAAAAGGTGACCCACAGCTGGACTTCCGGAGTCCATAACTTTACCAAATTTGATCCGATTTGAAAGTGGCATACCTCCTAAGACTTGTGGTTTGATTCTCAAAAAATCTGCATTCAAATTTTTCATTTAAACGTTGATCAAATTTTTGACCCGCCCGAAGTTAGATTTTCTTTCTTGTTATAATTAATATAGTTAATTTCAGTTGTATAAAAGAAGTTCTTATTAAGGAAGTTGGACTCTACTATTAACATTATGTTTTCCATTTAAGATAATCCTAATCAATTAATTCGCAGTTTTAATACATTTTCTAATATTGTTGTTTGCAGGTGGGCAAGTACCTGGTGCCACCGCGTTTCGACATTAATCGGATTGCGCTGGGAGCTGCGTGGCAAGGAGCATTTGGCCAAGGACCAGGCCTGCATCATTGTGGCCAACCACCAGAGTTCGCTGGATGTACTGGGTAATAAACTGGGCTCTGCATACGATTGAAATTAATTTGATCTTTGCCCGAAATGGCTAGCTAAAACAGACTATCGTAGGAATAGGGCAGATATTTCAAATCTCATTTTATTTTTACGTTATTAAACAGTTCTTTGAGTTTGAAATCTAAGGAAAAAACTAATTCGAAATTACATATATAACTTAGAATACTTGGATAACGAGCAGATTTCTTTGGGAACATAGATTCTGTTTTTAGAATATTTTTACATAAAGCACCTTAACGTTATTTTTTATAATATAACATATTATTGATATATGAACCAAAAAGTTTTCTAGCTTACACTTCTTTTGAATGTACAATTTTATTGTAATGATGCGAGTATATCGATGAATTCGACCAACCCCAAGTTAAATTAACAACTCCGAACATTTCAATTAACTTAAAAGTAATGTCAGTCGGTTTTCTTGTATAAAGTATCGCTATATAGCTGCTCGATGGTCTTCAGGGTGTTGTTAACTAGGGTGCTTCCCACGTCGCAATACTCGCGGAATAGATCCCTCAGCAGGAGCAGTGTGTTTTTGGCCAGTCGTTTCCATTGTCGCAACGTCTGCTCATTGGTGGCATGGGGAGATTTCTGCTCCTGTCGCTGTTGCTCCAAAAGTACATCCGCTTGCCATCGCAATTCCCGCACATCTTGTCTGGCGGGGGTTCGCTTTAATATCTTGACAATATGCCCCTCCAGCTGATTGTCCAAAATGGTTACCGTCTCGAGCAGATGGTTGAAAATCTCCTTGTTGGATAGAAGCAGCGGACGGAGAAGCGTTTGGAAAATAGAACCTGGTGGTCCTATCTTCCCTTCGGTCTCCTGGCACTTAATCATCTCCACCGAATCGAAAGTCTCTTCTTGGGTGTTGGTCAAACTGGCTACATCATCCTGGATCAGCTTGATCAATTGAGTGGCACTCTGTATCATGGCTAACTGGCCAGTTTTTGGTTCACCTCCAGCTATTGTCTTACTCATCTCGTCGGGTTTGGATTTCTTTGGAAGAGTTTTCCGCCACTCGGTTACACGATGGCGAACATAGTTGACATATTCCTTTCGTTGCTCTGGATTTCCATATGGAGCTGGCGGCGAATCCTGTATGGAAATAACATCGTCTTCGGTTTCCTCTTCACTGCCAATGAAGCGAGCTAAGCGTTCGCTGCGGGTTCTCGAGGATCCTGGTTGGAAGTACTCGAGACTGGAACTGGGTGGTCGTTGAGTTTTAGATGGATGCTTCATTGGATCAGCCTCTGTTCTCTCCTGTCTCATCCGTCGTTCATTTTCCAGCTCTCCTTCGATATTTCGCAAGCGTTCATCCTTAATCCCCTTGGTGTTGGTGCAATGCCAATCCGCTTGAGCCTTCCGCCAGGAAAGACTGCTGAGTGCAGTGTGTTCTGACACGCGACGTGAGAATTGGACATGTTCTGGCTCATAAATGTATTGATTTCCCGCTTCCAAACGTCCCTCCTCGAGTTTTTGACAGCGCTCGCGGAGCAGCACATTTAGGCTGTCCTTCTCCTCTTGCAGCTTCTTCAAAAGGATATGGATCTCCCTATATTGATCCTGCGGGTTATATGAGTCCGAATCAGACTGCTGAGGATTCTCCGCTCTATTTTCAGGCTGAAGATTCTCTGTTCTACTTGTAGACTGACAGTTAATGTCTTCGGGAAGTTCCTCCTCCACATATACATCTTCTGTTTCCTGGTTCATACTGGCTTTGTGAATCGCCTGTAGATCGTGATCTTGTTGGAGTCCCATTTCATTTGATGGCTCCTGAGAGGGCTGTTCATTTTGATTTATTTCAATTTCTCTTGTTTTCTGCAGTTTTTTCTCGGTATATTTTTTCTTCCTACCATTATCCTCAGATATATTTCTTTGGTGTTCTTTATTGTTCTCTTGCTCTCCTTGATCGTCTTCTTCCTTATTCTCTTGCTGAGCTTTGTCAATTTGAATTTCATCTATTACTTTACTTTCCAGCTCTTCTCTTATCTTGTTATCCTGCTGAAGTTTTTCTAATAGTTTATTTTCTTTAAGTATATCTTCTTTAGCGATTTTATCGCATTCTTCTTGTTGCTCAAGTGCCTTTCTTTCTAGGTCCTCCGAACCTAGTCTTTCTTTTTCTTGCAGCTTGTAGATTTTCCTTGTCAAATCTTTCTTCTGCCTTATTTCTCGTTCCAGAGCCTCCTGAAGTTCGCTCTCAAGCTCCTCAGTCATTTTTTTTAGTTGTTTAACTTGGTCGTTTGCTTTCCTTTCGATTACTTCCATTTCTTGGCGATGTTGCGTAAGCTGTTTGACATATTTTCTTTTAAACTCTTCTCTTTCAATTTTTTCGCTTTCTTCTCGTTCAATTTTTTCGAGTTCTTCTCGTTCGATTTTTTCGAGCTCTTCTCGTTCGATTTTTTCGAGCTCTTCTCGTTCAATTTGTTCGAGCTCTTCTCGTTCGATGTTTTCAAGCTCTTCTCGTTCGATTTTTTCGAGCTCTTCTCGTTCGATTTTTTCGAGCTCTTCTCGTTCGATTTTTTTGCGTTCTTCCCGTTTGATTTTTTTGCGTTCTTTACGTTCGATTTTTTGGCGTTCTCGTTCGATTGTCTCGCGCTCTTCGCGTTCTCGTTTGATTTTTTCGCTCTCTTCTCTTTCTTTTCTATTTTTCTCTTCCCTTAGTTTTAGCCTTTCATTTAGGAGTTCCTGCTCTCTGATTCTTCTTTGGACTTCTTCCTCCCTTTCTTTTCGGCGGAGCTCTTCCGCGGCAGCTCTTTTTTTGAATTCTTCTCTTCTGGTCATCTGACGAGCCCTTTCCCGTTCTTCTTCTTGGAACTTTTGCTCTTCTTCGGCTTTTTCCAGCTGCATTCTCCTCTTGGCGTCCGCTAACTCCCTGCGCTTCTCCTCCTCGTCCCGCTCCATCCGCTTCCTGCGCTGCCGTTCCCGTTCCGCCTGCGCTCTTTCCCGGTGGTATTCCTTTAGGTGCTCATAGGCCACTATTTTCTGCTTGACATTCTCCGCCCGCAGCTTCAACTGCTGATCACTGACAGCGTTTATGGCCTCCTCGGAACAGGGATGCACTTGCCCCAGCTGCTCTATATTCGTCGCTTGCTCTGCATCCTCATGAAGACGCCGAGACCGCTCCTGACGATCGATTCGCTCCTTGAGACGCCGCTCGCGATGCAAACGCTGCCAACGCAAGCGATCCTTCTGGATGTTGAGGGGTGAATACTGCTCCCGTAGTCGCTGTTCCTCCTGCCGCTTTTTGTCCAACAAATACCGCTCGTGGTCTCGTCGCTCCTTCACCTTCAGTTGCAGTTCGCGAAACTGCTGTTCGCGTAGCTGGCGAGCCATTTCCAGGCGCTGGCGGTCCAGCTGCTGATGCTCGGCTCGCAGGACCCTCTGGCGATCCCGTTCGCGATCGCGGCGTTCACGCTCAAGGCGATCTCGTTCCCGCCGCTCCAGAATTTCCTGCTGGCGACAGAGATCAGGGCTGGGAACTGGAACCCTGACTCGTCTTGCGGCATTTACAGGTCGGAGTGGTGGTGACTTCGACTGGTGGGGCTCCCACAACATCACCGGCATATCGAGCCTGCACCCGTCCTCCAAATTGCAACGCTTCACTGGCTTTGGCGGAACCGAAGGTGGCACCGGTCGGAGCAGTCGCAAGTCCAAACTGCAGTTGGCCAAGTCGGTGAATGGCAACGAAAAGCGGCCCGTCTCTTGCAGCTGACGCATCATCTTCACTAGCAGATAGTCCCTGGCCCTGGTCTCCTCCTGGACGATGTTACCAAACCTGTCCAACCACTTGGCGCATAGCTCCAAATCCCCGGCACTCGTCAGTCCGTAGATGAGCTCCATCTTCCTTTTGATATGGACCTCCGAAAAGCTACTGTAAACACGATTATTGTTACTTTCCATTTCCATACAAGTGAAATTTTAGTCTAGAATCTTTTTTTTTTAATCTTGTGAGATCTAGTTTTGTGTTTGGTCGGCAAGTAATGGAAAACTAATGCAACGATTCAGAAATCACTTTCATTTTTTGAGTACCGATTTCTAGCTTACTTTGTTTATAGAAAAGAAAAAAATTTAATAAATTGTTTCGCAAAAAATCATGTACATTTTTCGGTTTTTAATCAAAACCCTGGGAAATAGTGGTCGCATGTTGGAATATTCTGGCTAAAATCTGGAAAAATCAGCTCAATTTTATTTAATTAAAACTCTGGGAAATAGTGGTCGAATGTTTGAATGCCGTACCTAGTTGAATTCGATACTAAATTTCCAAAAAAAATTATATTCACAGAAAAAAATATTTTTCATTTAAATTTTTTCGGTTTTTTAATAAAAAATAAGTAGACCTCGGATTTTATATGATTACATATACTTATTAAACGATTAATAAAAACCAATTTCTTAAATATTTGAAAAATAAGAAAGTAAAAAATTGTCTGTGTTAGTGTTTATTCGAATTAAATCTAAAGATTTCAATCGTAGGATCTCTTTTAATTGTTTCTGAATGTTCCCAACTAATTATAACTTTTTCGTAATATCCGCAGGCATGTTCAACATCTGGCATGTGATGAACAAGTGCACGGTGGTGGCCAAGCGGGAACTGTTCTACGCCTGGCCCTTCGGCTTGGCGGCCTGGCTGGCTGGTCTGATCTTCATCGATCGAGTGCGCGGCGAGAAGGCGCGCGAAACGCTGAACGATGTGAATCGGCGGATCAAGAAGCAACGAATCAAACTTTGGGTTTTTCCGGAGGGAACGCGACGCAACACGGGCGAACTGCATCCATTTAAGAAGGGCGCCTTCCACATGGCCATCGACCAGCAGATACCCATCCTGCCGGTGGTCTTCTCCTCCTACTGTACATTCCTCAACGACAAGAAGAAGATCCTGAATGCGGGTCGCATTGTGATTACCACTCTGCCGCCGGTTAGCACCGAAGGTCTCACAAAGGACGACATCGATGTGCTAATGGACCGGGTTCGCTCTCAGATGAGCGAAACCTTCAAGCTAACGTCCGCGGAGGCGCTGCAGCGGTACAAGCCGATGATGAAGGGAGGCGTTCCTGTTTCCGTTTCCGTTTCCTCACCCGCCTCCAACTCCGCTCCGGATGCCACGGTGGCCGCCGCCGCGGCCGTCGCCAGCAGCAGTTCCGGATACGGCCAGCCGGCGGGTTACGGAGCCGGTGCTGCAAAGGCCAGCTTGCTCAAGACACTGTAGGCGACGTAGCAATTTAATTTACACACTCATATCCCAAAAAGACAAAAAATCACACACCTCATTGGCGAAGCTGAAGCGACACGTAGGGCGCTACATAGTAAACATTTCAAAATGGTTGTAAACGGTGCAGCGGCTGAAAATTTAGAAAGACTGCAGTTACATCGTTTACAACCAGCTTTATAGGCCTATTTGGGATTTGGATTTCGACATAAAATCTAGAGCTTGTGCAATTTTGTACACCTACAGTATTATCTTGTTTTATCTTGTGAAGTCAATAGCTTGTCAATTTTTGTAAGACTTTTATTTAATGTTTTATGTTTCTGTGAATTGTAATTTAATACCTATTGGAATAGTAATTAGTAACTTATTTCTTTAATTATATATGATGTGGTTAAATTTTGTATCAATATTTATACAGTTTAATTCAATGTTTAAAACATGGCTTTCTGTAGCTTTTGTGATGACATTTTTCTTTGATAAATACCTTGTCATTTATAGATGTTTCTTTATCAAACTGTAAGATATTGAAATCTGAGAAGTTAAAAGCCCAAATAGGCCTATTGGTAAACAATTCTTAACATTTCATTAACTTTAAACACTTTTTCGGGCTCTATTCAGCTTGCTTTATCTAAACACTTTGCAATTTTACAACTGTCACTCATTTCTGCCTGTAACTGAGCATCATTTTGTAGATTTCAGCACTTGCATAATATTTAATTTTTCATCTAAGTAATTAAGGAAAAGTGAATTTTAACAGCTTAATTCATAGCTTTGGCTTGACTCAGGAAATGTTTCTGGCTACGGCTCACGTTAAAACACCGACATCCAAATAGTTTGGCTAATTCAGGCACCAAAATGAGTATTAGGAACAGCAACAACCAAATTGCAACCCTCGACTGTCAGACTTTATCTTTTTCCTAGGCAACACATACCAAAAAAAATATTTAAAAAAGAACCAAAAACTTAAAAGCTAACCTACACTTTGCAACAGGTTTCTAAGGACGCGTCTAACTCGAAGTCTTATGGATTATACTAACAAATATTGCTGCAAACGTATTAAATCCTTGTTATAATCCAAATCAGTTAGATTAGAGCCTTAGATTTCGTTAATCTTTTTCGATCTTTCCTTCCTGTTGCCGCGTGTAATTGTTAGATGATTAAACCAAATATCTATATATACATCTTAAAAATTTATAATTATCTAAACATAAATTGTGGATGACTAGGATGGCAAATGGCATTACATGTGTGGGCCAAAATCGGGTCGATTTTTACAATTGACCACCTGGCGAGCAGTTAACCGCGTTATTTTAAAACCACACGTATTTTATTTACTAGACATTCCCTAACTATGTAGGTTAGGGCACCCATATAAAATAAATCTTTTCCGCTTGAAATTGAATCAAGTTTGTATTCGATTAACTTTGTATTTTGTATCACCTCATGGCATCTAAGGAATTTAAGGGATCTTTAAACTAACACCTATTTATGTATTCAAGTATAATGTGAATTGTATACCAACTACTTGGTAAAGTGTTAACCTAACTTTGTAAATACGATGCGGTTTACTTTAAAGACAAATCAAAAGCGATAAGAAGACGAAATCGAAGGAAACAATTAAATACGAGTATAATAAATATTTTTTTTTCGAATATATGGTTGTATGTGTTTGTTTGTTTGGGCGGTCTGATTTATTTAGATCGGTCAGATTTGGAAGGTTGAGATTTCCCCATGGACTATGCCCAATCGTATCTTTAAGTGCTCTCGTAAAGATTGACAAAATATATTACCTCTAATATGGAAAATCAATGGCGATCAAAGATTAAGATTGATCAAGGCAGTGATATTGGTATTTTTGACAGTAAAGTCAACATTCTGCAAGTGGAAATATTGTAAGTATTCTGGTTTCTCCACTTTAAGCTGGAATTTTTAAAACTTCGAGTAGTTTTCTTATATCTAAGATGTCCTATTGTATTTTTGTTCTGTAATTTGTTTTTTGGAAATAATATGATCTTGACGTGAATTGCAAATCAGGCTGATTAATAGCTTTCTGCCCAATTTTATTAAGTGCTGAAGGGTAACTTACTAAATTTAAACATAATAATGCACATACGGTTTAAATCTAATCGTTCAGTTTTTTATGCAACGTTGATTGGACCAATTTTAACCGGCTGTCGAGATAATGTATTTCCATTAAGCGGTCCGATAAGGGGCTCTTACCTTCGAGGGGGCATTGTCCAATGACCCATGGGCATCGGGATCGATCAGTCTAAATGCAATGTCATTCAACTATGTTGCTAGCCTGTTTCAATTAGCCGATAAGTTTTATTGAATGGTTTCCATTGATGTTGATTGTTTTAGATTGGAAGTTCCGTTATTATTCATTGCATGTGACTGATTTACCGCCGCAAAATATGCTATTGATTGAATAAAAAAATTAAGAGAAGTTTAACTTTATAGCTTTATATGGGTTTTGGTGTTTTTTTTTACATTACCAAAAGAAAACATCATCACACATTCCCCCCAAAAATGACACCACGGCTTGTTTAAGCTATTGTGAAAATATTTGTATATTTTTGTTAAAATTTTTCCGGTATTAAGAATTATTATTATTATAAAGTATGCATACATGATTTTGGATTTGCCTCTTTTGCTAAATTATCATTAAACTTTTTATGACATTTGTTGCTTTTTTTTATGTTAATTAATAATATTTTTATTTTGTTCAAGATTTTCCATTAGACGCTTCCGTTATAACATTGTTTTGGATTACATTAAAAATTGTCAAGTTTAATAGTTTTGTTTTCGATTTGGATTTTGGTTGGTAAGGTTTAAGAAATGTAAAATATTTCCTGCTCTACAATAATTGATATCAATAATAAAGATTAATAATTGCCAGTCTGGATGGCAGGATATATAGCCCAAGAAATTATTTGTTTACGCTATCTCTTTCTTTTTACTGTGATTCTCTGTCTTTTTCACATTCCCGGGGTTGAAACATTTTGTTAGTTATTTAACGTGAAATATTAGCTTTTACCTTGAAACAATACTAGAAAATATTTTCAAGTTTAGAGAAACCCCTAGATTTTCATATTAAAATATTGATAAATTAAACTAAGGGAACATTTCTTGAACTGTTATTGCGGTCTATACTTTTTGTATCATTTCAGATATCGAAATCCAAGGTGCTTTATATCCTGCCAATAGTCCACTTTGGTTATAAAAACATTTGTTATGAGGATCATTGGGTTTCCTGCTAATGGCAAAGCGCTTAAGCTTAGGAAAAAATTTTTCGGTTGTTTCACAACACTGCTATCTATAACTAAAGTCGATAAAAACAAATGAAATATGTTTTCTAAATATTATCTTTAGATATTATTCGTGTGATTTCTTCTTTATTAGTTGTTAATTAAAGCCAATTTGCATTTGTTAGTTGAGTCTATGATAAAATTTGTTAAGCGCGCTTCGAATCTGTCCTTCTCATTATATTTCTCGATCTTGTTTAATTAAAATTTGTCATTTGTCTTATCAGATACTTGGATTGATGTATGTATATATTTTTTGTTGTGTATATATATATATATTTATATATATCTGTTATGGATCATAATTGGTCAGATGTTGTGGCATATTGAATTGTACATTCAGTTAATTAGTTATTTTCCTCTTATTCCCTTTCTCTCTGAGCTTCATTTCGCTTTCCTCGATTTTTCTACTTGATCTGAATAGTTGTGCCATATTATGGCTTATATACTTTAGTAATCATTTATTATTTACAGTTGCGTTAATGCATTTTAAAGCAAACATAATTTCACAGCCGTACTCCACTTTCTCGGATATTCCCGCATTTTATCTTTATTGTTATTTGTATTTTGCTTTAATGTGCTGTCAAGTGAAAAAAATTTGACCAACTTCCCTTGGGTTATTACCCAAAATATTGATTTTCATCGAGATTCTATTTAAATTTAATGTTTGGTTTGGTTTGCTGGTCCTGCTATATTTATAGATTTATTTGCTACAATCATAGTTTACTATATATATAGAAAGAGACGGAGATGGCTTCAGAGTCTTTAGCCTAAAGTTGGAAACGAGATCTATTCTTCTTGAAGGGGTTTTTCCTACATATCTACTAAACTTTTCCACTCTTCACTGATTATGCAATCGATTTATCCAAATGGGAAAAGTAAAACCTATCGAGCGAGTGAACATAAGGGTTAGTTTTCATTAGTTATTATTATTAGATCGTTAACAGGTTTACCTTAGGCAAATTTCTTACACAAAACATAGGGTTTTTTAATTGCTTAACTACTCGTGTATGCTAGGCCTTTTTTGCTCTCGATTACATTACCTAATTAATATATAGAATTTGATTCAATATGAGTGTGATGTGCGAAGTGACGAGTGTGTGTGTTTTTATTCTTTTAGCCTACGATAAAATTAGCACCAATGCAAGAGATTATTATTCATTCGTGTCCGTGTGTGTTTTAATATTTTGGAAAAAATGTTGCCAAGATATGTGTAATTTACTACCGTTTTCTAAGATCGAGATTTTCTATCGAACTGCCCTTACCGTACATATATATTTAACTTCTCTGGTGGTAAGAAAGAAAATAGAGCTGGCAAGTTACTGATGATAAATTATATTTAATAGTTTGTTTATAATGACACTACCAATCGTTTTTATTTTTATTCCTGATAGAGACATATTTCATGAAGTGCGAGTTGAACTTATCGTTGCTTAAATATCAACCCCAAATGCAGTATAAAAAAATCATTAAAAAAACCAAGACTATTGGTAGTTGAACTGAAAAACCTAACGATATTTTGTCAGCTCACAAAAAATAAGTAACATTTACTAAAAGCAGGATCTGATGTGGTGTGCTTGTGTTGTGTCTTGGTGACTCATGGTAAACATTTCAATTGGATTAAAAAAACCTATCTTCCTAGACGAAGTTGCCTTCATTCAGTTAGCTAAACACTAATCAACAATTTTTGATCCGATACAAAGAGCTAGACACTCTTATGTACAATATATGCTTACATAGATTTCGATATCTGTGTATATATATATTTTATATATATCATTTATCTATATTTATTATAGTCTTAGGAGCTAAAGACTGTCTTATACGTTCGCTTGATGAGTTTGTTCTGGTTTCTTGGTGTTGCTTACTCATGTATACTTAGGTAGATGTAAATGTATATGCTATATCTGCTGGCTCTACCGATTCGATTCCGATCACATTGAAAGTATTCGAAAATGTTCTGCAATTGAGGGTACTTTCTTTGTCTTAACGTTTTTTTTTACTGTTCCATATCCTTTGAAATTGTTATTGTACCTATTATAAGTCTGGGGATATAAGTGAAAACCTACGCATCGATGGCACGATGCCTTTTGCCTTTTTCGCTAAATTAATGCTCAGACATAATGCTACAAATATCTGGCCTGGATTTCGCTTATTACACTGTAATAATTTTTAAGAGAAAGTCCTACGCTTGAGGAGCAACAAAAAATGAGGAGGTTCTGATTTCGCTTCGCTTAGCATCGCCATAAATTCATCTCCATCTCTTGCTATTTGACGTCAAGTTATAAGTTCAGGAAACTGTTGCCCAAGAATCCCAGCATTATGGTGGACATGGCTATCGGGGCGAGTTGCACATTCGAGGCTGTACTGTTCCCGGCCAATATCTCTGCCCTCTTTCGCATTCGTTCCTGTCGAGAGAAGAAACAATTTACCGTTGTAGATATTTGGATATCCCAGGGATCACTCACCTGGTACAGTTTGTCCTCGCCGGGCGGATCCAAACATTCGAACTCACAACAACGCTCGCCAACCCGGAAGTTTTTGCAAAACTAAACAGGAGAGTAAATTGGTTTTAATAAAGAAGGATATGTAGGGGAATAATATGATATCCCCAAAGATATAATTTAACACCGTTGAATATATAATTTAATAGTTAATAGCTTTTATTTAGTTTTAAGTCCTGGTCACAATCACTGCTGGCTATCAACTGATCTTGTTCTCCGCTCAGAACTCGCTCCAACCCCCAACTCTCTGATAGAGTTTGAGAGCGATGAGAGCACAAGAGAGAGAGAGAGAGCCCAGCGAGAGCAAGCTCCACAACAACAACAACTATGGAATACAGTAGCTTATACGTATTAATAGGTAGCAATCCTGCTACAGATATAATTCTAAAGACTGGACAATTTTTTTCAGAAAGTTTTTTTTAAATTTAATTTTAAAAGATTTGCATAAAATACGAAAAATTTTATATTTTGTTCCTATTTAAAAATCTTTCACAACCTTTATTAAAATCGAATGATTATATTTATAGCTGCCATCGAAACAATCAAAAAATTAAAAAAAAGAACCGAAAAATTGTAAGCTAAAAATGAGCAATATAGTCGCTTTATAAAATATTTAATTTGTTTAATAACTTCAATTGTATTTAAACTTGGGATTGTTTAAGTTTTCTTCTTTTCTTGTTAAAATATTAAATGTATATATTGATTTGACTAGCGCTTTTTTTCTTTTCTGAGCTTTGTTCTCGTGATCATTATGATAACTTCACTATTTTTATTTAGTAATTGAACAAAGGGACTCACGTAGGGCGGATCACAGTAGATGGCCTTGCACCAGAGTGGTTCGGAGTGGTAGCAGACGCAGAGGCTACAAACTCCGGGTCCGGGCACATACAGCATTCCGTGGTTCACCTTGTTGCCCTGGAAGTCAACGCAGTCCTCCTCGAGTGCAGCTGAAAAATCAGAGGCACTTGGTTATTTAATAGCGGTCTCATTTAAATAATCTAATCGTTTTGATTGGGAGAGATTATATAAGCACATATGTATGTATGTTAGGGCGCCTGGTAGTTGCCAATGCTCCACTTTAATCCGGACAATCCGGCTCTTGATCCCCCGGATCAGCGACTATCAATTTAAGTGAACCGGGGTTATATGCCGAGTCGCTCAAATCGAAAGGCAGATAATACGCGTTTTGCGCCGTTTGCTATTCGACGGGGTTCGATTTTATTCCCTATTTTCATTGTCAGTTGATCAGGCGATTGGAATACTAATTGATTTGATATTTTTTTTATGAATGAAGAAATGTGTCTAAACTAACACTAGTATTCAATTAAAATGTATATGGGAAAGGGGCTCATTGCTGGATCAAAATGGCAAAAAGTTATTTGAAAATGTTGCTGTATAATTCTGATTTATAAATGGGACGGCTTTTAGAAAAGCCTAAAAATGATTAAAAATATAAAGTATTTTTTGTTATTGCTTGTAGCCTATATTTGATTTATTTGAAATTATTTAATAGTAACATATGTCTGAGAAAAGGAAAATAAATAGAGTAAAACTCCCCAATTGGTAACTAAAATCATCAATTTATAAAGTTTATCTAACAGTTACTACAGTATCAAATCACCATTTCATTTAATTTCAAATACCCTTTAAATCGCGAAACGCAACAAGCTTAAAAGGTTTCTAAAACTGTCCTTTTTTTTTTATTTCGAAAATAAATTTCCGATGGTAGAATTTAATTTTGAAGCGGTTGCAATAATGGGACAGTGCCACTGACAGTTGGAAATGTGTGGGGACACACGACTGGCAGATCCGTGAAGGATGGGTCAACGGGGCTCCCCGGGGGATGGGCATTATGTTAGCTTTCCGCCGAAGACTCAAAAGCTCGGCAACATTCCTGCAAGCATCGTCGAAATGTTGCAAGTGACGTAGGCATTTGTTGCAGGTTCGAAGGTCCGAGTTCGAGCACAAGACTACGAAACGCGAATGCGGTCTTTAATGGGTCGCGTTCTACACCCAAAAAAAAATTAATGTATCCCAATATTATATATTATATATATATTAATTATCAATAAATTAAGCCCAAAAAAAAAGGCTAGAAAATCGCTTGAGTTTGCTAGAAACTAACAAAATTGATTGAAAATGATTCAATCAGTTGTGTATTTTTTTAAATTATAATGTTAAATAATAAATGATGATAAATTTTGTTTAAAAAGTTAATTAGTTAGTTGGGATACCTCACATAAAATTTTTTAACAGTAGAAAACATTTCCTCTCCACTTTTTTTTAAAATTCTTGCAGTGTATTGTTTGGAAAACGGTAGACAAATTTTCTTTCGCTGTTTTGCTGGTTTTCCTTTTCACTTTTGGGAGTTGCAGCATTGGGAAATGGGGAGAGGCGCCATTTTGGGCGGAAGCTGCAGTTGTTTGTTCACTTTATTTGTTTGCCCTTTTCGCATTTTGGCCCTTCTTCTGCTTCTTGCCACGATTTTCCGCCATTGCAGCAGTCATCATTCGCAGGTGCACGTGCTTTTCGTCCTTTATACATCTCGTGCCCGGTTTTCTCCTCTTTCTTAACCATCTTTCTCATTTCCCAAATTTTCTTCATTTTCCCCCATCTTTTCACACCGCTGCAGTCCTCATTTTAAGATCGCTGAATAATTAAAAGCAAACGTTCAACTTTCGTGCGCCAGCTGTCGCCCAAACATTTTAGCTGTGTCCTGGGTCAAAGTTTAGCAGGCCACCCCCTCACCCAACCACCCACCGCCCCACTTTCACCCACCGTCTGTTTAACCTTCGCCCTTCTTAGTGGATACCCCACACTGAGGCAAAAGTTTGGAAATCATCAATTAAAGCTATATTAAATATAAGTTGTTTAACGAAATAAATGTAATTTGAAGATTTATTGGTTTTTAAAAGCTTTTCAAATGGGGAATGCCAATTTTAACTACGACATTATTATATTTAACTAACGATATTAAAGATCATTTACATAGGAGAATCATGTATTGCTAAATAATATTTAATTTCTATAAATTATAATTTGTTAAAATTATTTGCCATATATAAATATAATAAATTATAATTTATAGTTTTAGAAAAGTACCCATACTATATTATATTAAAATTGAAATGTTTGAATTTCTTTACTAAATAAGAAACTATTTTTAAATATGTTAGTTACTAATGTTTGTAATTTTTTCAATGTCCCTATATACTTGGTTTTTTGACTTTATTTTATTTTTTTAAGTGTTTTGGTCGTCTTTTGTGCTGGAAATGCATTTCATTGCAGTATTATTTTACAATTGTGTTTATTACTTTTTAATGCCTGGCGTTTTCATTTCCACCTGACCCGAGTGTTGAGAATCCGGTCGACGGACATGGGGTTTTTGGTGGGATTTTCAGGGGGTTTTGGGTGCGTCCAGGGCCGCGACTCACTTAAAAATAGCTTTTGTTGTGACATTTTACAAGGTGCCCCTCCAGCTCTTCACAAACATCCTGCTCGAGTGGTGTTTTTTTCTTTTTTTTCTTTTTTTTCCTTTTGGACAGGGGAATTCATCTGAAATGCGCTTAAATTGGTCGTGTCCTTTGTTCTATTTTCAGGGAAAATCAATTCTCGCCGCTTTAAATGCAGTCTCAATTTCCACACTAATTGTGCTGCCTGGAACTTCATGACAATTTGCAATTAGGAACCTAGCAGTGCAATTAGTATTCGACGACTATTTAAAATAATTAGGGTTCGAAAAGGAGGCGAACCAAATTGAGGAAGATGAAAGTGTGTGCACTCAATTCGCAATTCAGTTTCAATTGCCCTGCAATTGAGTTTAATTTATATGGTTTAGCACGATTGACTTGGCCCTCGACTGTAAATATATATGCAAATATATAAATACAAACACAAATGCAGTTTTATATGTCAATACCATTTTGTTTTCATTTCGTTTAGTTTCGATAATAATTTATGTCATTTCATTTGAGTTGCCATGACATTTAATGTGCGTAATCTCCTTTTGATTCAGTTTATTTTCTATTTTAATTCAATAGGAAAAAAAAACAATTTTATTTTGTACTTAAATATAATATTGTAATTACTGTATTTATTACTATGATATTTAGCTGATGTTTTAGTTTCAAGTTCATTATAATAAGCTAGACTTTTTGCTATTTAGTTTTCTCTGAAGCTTAAGTGTTTTCTTTTCCATTTCAGTAGAATTATCCAATTATACATTATCAAATGCCTTCAAATTGGTACAAAAAGCCATTTTATGTTTATGTCAACTCAAAACAAAATGCAAATGTTTTCATTTGCAGTTGTCAAATGAATCTTAATCCATTTTCAGCGGAAATATGGGAAGTTAACTTTCAATGTCAAACGCCACACGCCACTTTCCCGAACTTGACAAGAAGAATGCTAAAAAGATTTTCCGCTTTTCCTACTTGTGGCCAATTCAAAATGCTGGCTGGCCAACAACAGTGAGCCTCTTTCCAGGAAAAAATTAAATGAAATGCACTGCCACAGTTGCAGCCTTGTGTCGAAGCAGTTCATAAATGCCTAAGCGGAGGAAAAACGGGGGAAAAGCGGGGAAGCCGAGGAAAGTCGGGGAAAGCCGGAAGGGAAGGGGGTGGCAAAGTGGCAGGGTCACGGTGGAATCGTTGAGTGAGTGCAGCCATCAAGTTTTCCACTTTTGCTGCCTGCTTTGCGGCTCTCTTTCGCCACTCTATGCACAGAAAAAATATGTATTGTAGTAGTAAAATATATATGTTTTGTGTTTAATATTTAATAATGAATGCTAAATAAAAGAAAATATACAATTCAATATAACTTATTTATTGTATTCCGCTTCACGATGTAAAATAAAACAGAACATATAGATTTAATCTAAACAAATGCGATAGTTGTTTTATTTTTCGCTTGAAGATAGATTCAATCGAGAAAGATTTAATAAAGTTAAAGTTAAAATGCAATTAGCGTCTTTACAAGGGAATTTCATACCAACTTTTCAACCTAAGTAATTCTCATTCCTTAATAAATAACACAAAATAAAAAAAAATTTTGATGTACTTGTTACCTATTTTATTATTTTGCTGTATAATTTGCTTATGTATTGATTGCCAATCAATGGTCGTCACTAATGAGACTTTTTCAATAGCGGGGAAATGGAAAAGCTCGTGAAAGGCGATTGACATTTTGTTTTGACTCTTGTCTCGACTGGCGAAATTCTAACGGAAGCGAAGATTATTAAACCATTTTGAATGCCATGGTACAGTGTAATTAGCCCGGTCACGTCGTTCCAACCATTTTCCCTTCCGTAATGTCACTTTTTGCTATTGCCTTTTGTTTTTTGCCAGTCAACGTGTCGTATGCGTAATGGGCCAAGAGGCAAACTAGAAGGCAGAGTTTAAAACTGCGGCACGTGTGCAGTTAGAATCGAGTTAAGATTAAAATTCAGGTTTCTATTGATTTATTTTTTAGCTCAGAAAGTAAAGGAAAATATTTACATTTTTCCATTTTAAACATTAAATATTCATTATTAATAGTAAAAAAATATTTAGAGTGTTAGCTATGATATATAATTGGTATATAATTGTCGGATACCTGTACTATTTATTTCATTTCAGTATTCTATCGCTTTTTGTAAGAAACACTCCTTGAGATTTAAGGAGCCAGTGATGAGGGCCATTGAATGACCATGACTAGGCAATTCAAGCCCAGATTAGCCCTTGAACGAATCGATATGGCATCCGATTGCATTGTTGACCATAATCACCCACTGGCGATGGCATCTCTGGCACACCCAACTCTTGTCACCACTCAACGGTCGATTGATTGCACCACCATCACCATCACCACCACCATCACGAAATGAATATGGAAACGAGCACCACCCGGCCGATGTAATTAGCTGAAACGCAACGCTCCACCATCGATCGGGGCACTTTATATAAGCTAATGCCCAGTGGCAGTGATGGGAGATATACCAGTTTTTTTCATTAGCTTTATTCTACGAAATTTCAGGATATTTTAGAAAATATATATATTTTTTTATTTTTGCAAAATCGCAATACCATCTATAGAGGGTTTTCTTGAAGTAAGGTAATGAATTTAATAAGAAAACTATTTACGGTTAAAAAATAGCAATATATCGTTTTGATAGAAAACAAATGAACCAATGAAATTAAATTTGATTAGCTTATTTCATGTTTAATTATTTTAAACAACAAGTTTTTAAAACATATATACATGCATTTCTAGTTTTTTAAAATTGAATATTTTTCATAAACCGAATTAAATTAAAAATAGGAACCTAATTTTGTATTAAGTTACTTTCCATCACTGGACTTAACCCACTAAGGCCAGCAAGCAATTAATAAGTCCCCAGCGCCACTAAGTATGCTATAGATTGCCATTGAGTGCCATAAGATTGATGGAGGATATCGTTCGATATCCATCTTATTCGGGTTGAATCATCAGCACTCAAGCGCCATTCACATGTTCCAGTTTCTTCTATTCTTCTACTTTTTGTTCTAACATTCAAATTTGTGTAACCAAAGTGGTAAGGAGGGTGGAAAAACAGGGCTAAAACAGCCGTGTACGTTGCATGTGCAAAGTCAAGGTTGTATCCAACTTACTAACAACTTAAACTGCTCAATAGAAATAACATACACGGCTGCGAAAAAAACCCCATCAACATGGTTAGAAAAATATTGGAGAAAAACAGCAGACAATAATTGGTTTTGGGGTATTTTTTTGTTTTACTTTCAAGATTTTAATGCAGTTGTTTGTGGAATTAAACCACAAGTTTTTAGAAGAATACTACTAAAAAAACGGATTTTTATGAAAAAAGTTATGGGCCTTAATGGTCTTAGGTCACTTTTTTTACAAAGCCATTTTTCGAAAAATCATACATTATAAAAAAAGAAAAGCAATAATTTCATAGAATTATTTTTAATTTGCATTCCAATTAAAATAGGCTTAAAGGAATATAGTTTATTGCTAGTGTACTTTTCTGAACAGAGTGAAAAATTAACAAAAGTGAAGAATTAATTAAATTAAATTGTAGTATGAAATTGAGTACTTTTTCTTTACTGCATTTTTACCCTTTCTGGCAATCTCAAGACTTTTCTCATTCTGCTGGTAATTGTTTATGGCTCGACTCCGACTGGCACATAAAAGGAAAACAGAATCATCAAATTTGATTGAGTACTGGCAAGGTAAGCCACAGTGGACATTCGATGTAAAGAAAACTAAATAAATGTACACAAAAGGAAACCACTGCTAATTGTATTATTTTGCCAACCAAAATACTATAGATTTCGTTCTAAAGGATTGTGCTTTGCAATTTTGGTTGCACAAACAAACAAATTAATTTATATTTTTTTATTTTTGGTATAGATATGCCTGTTTTGGTTTGCAGTTAACAAATGACCTTGCATCCGCACTTTGTGACAGATAAATAATTTATTTTAAGGCTCTTAGGATTTCCTTGAGAGATTTAAATATAGACTTTGCCTGCACTTAACAAATGTCTTTGTTTGCTACATTATTGATTTCAAATATCTAGGGATCCCTTTAGGAATATTCACTGTAATAGGCAGATTTATTGCCGACTCACCGGCGCCTTAGAAAGTGGAGTGTCGGTTTGGTGTTTGCAACCTTCGATATATGCAAATTTCGCAAAAAAAGAAAACCAGAAAATATCAAACCAAAGGCAGGCTGACATTGTTATGGGAAAATTTCTGGCAGTTTTTTTTTTCCTTTAGGTACCACAAAATTAATTCTTTGTGAAACATTTCGGAATGCAAATGTTATTCTGGATAATCGCATCATTAAAACTGTTCAACTAGAAGGTGTAAATTAATACGACTATAAGGGTTTATGAGTTATAATTTATTTTGTTATTAAATAAAAGATTACTTGTAATACATTTTTTTACGAGCACTCGGTGTTAGATTGTATTTTAATAATATCAAATATTTCTATAAATGGCTTTGAGTTTTGGGGAAGTATACTTCGTTGTTTTAAGATTTAAACTCATCAATCAAATACAGAGATTTAAACTCATTTAAAATCAGCGATATACAGAGGAAGGTGCTGCGATCTTGTAAAGTAATACCAACTACTAACATTTGGTGAGGAGAAAAGGACTTCCTTTGAAATCCGCTTTATGCACTTGACTTTGGAGAGAGCTGATTACTTCACAGATAGATTTCAAGGAAAGGCATGAGGAATTAAATGGTAATTACCTGTAAAGGGGCTGAGGCAGCCCAGCAGGCAGAGGGCCAAAAGCAGCCGGGCGACGGGGTAAGTTGGCAGCCACATCGACGTCATCGATTGCAGCCACGCCCCCAGGCGTTGCAAGTACGATTGTTGCTGTTGCAAGTGCCGTTGCTGTTGCTGCTGCATGGTTGGTGTTGCTGTTGTGCAGCCTCGTTGACGTCGCCATGTCGTTTGGGGCCCATTGATTGTTATTGCATTTGTTGCAGTTGCTGCCGCTGCTCCTAATGTTGCTGCTGTCCTTGTTGTTGCTGTTGCTGCTGCTGTTTTGATTGGTGTTGCTGCTGGCACAGATGTTGTTGCAACTGCTCCTACTGCTATTATTTTTGGGCTTGGTGGGCGCCACGTCGCTGCTTTTGTCATTGTCAGGCGTTGATTTTGAACTTGGCGGCGGCGACGGCTGTGGGATCTACACTTGCAGCAAATGTTGCTGTTGCTGTTGCGGCTGCTTATGTGACTTCAAGTGTTGCTGTTGCTGCTGCAATTATTCTTCTTGTATTGCTGCTGCTTCTTCGAATGTCCTTGCACTGTTTGTAGGTATTGTGTGTGCGTGTGTGTTTAGAAAGGTGACAGATTATTGGAAACATAATCAATTTCATTTTGTTGCACAGTGGTAAGAGGAGATATCAATAATTGCAAAATTAGGAAACATAAGACAGAATAAAAAAAATGTTTCATTTATTTTTTACTTATTTATAAGATCTAGATCTAGAGTTTTGAAAACATTTATAAAAGTTTCTCACAGTGTGCTTTTTTACAATTTGCCATAATTAAATGCCGAATGACGATGTTCTATTTTTTAAAACTGACTTTTTAAAGGCTTAATTGGTCAAGAGATTTACTTAAACACCTGCAAATACATACTTCCCACATTTTGAAATATCTTTATAAACGAGTATACACAAATATTAAATCTGAATGAAAACTAAAACCCCTATACTATTCTTAAATCAATGAGTTCCGCAAATACTAAAGTTGGTTTTAATATACTTTTTAGGTAAAGAGTTTACTTAAGCAACAAAATATAACCCATGACGATTTGTCCTTCTAAAGTTAAGAGCTTCAGAGCTTTAAAGAGTTTTTTTTACAAATTGATCACAACGCTTAACATCAAAACAGCGTTTTTAAAATATTTTAGTTAACCCTTATTTATGATATGTTTGTGATAACTCGAAATTTTAAATGTTGTTGTGAATTTGTATTTTAAAATTGTATTTTTTCTTTTATGGGTGTTTTTAATTTCTTCTCAGAGCATTTTAATGGTCAAAAATATACCAGAAACACAATCGTGAACTTTCAAACTCTATTGGAAATTTATAAATTATCATTAAAGTCGACTTTATCCAAAAAATGCCATTGCTTTCGTGTTTACATTATATCAGCAAGGAGGTATTTAAGTTCTGCCCATTGTTCTGGCCAAAAAGTTTATCTGCATTGTGTCGACAGACAGTTTTTGGCAGCAATTTCACCTCTGCGCCTGTGTGTGTGTGTGCGTGTGTGTGTTTTGGGGGTGGTGGGCGTGGTGGGGGTGGCCATTTGTGGGGTTAGTTGGGTGGCGAATCAGCTGTTCGGCGGTTCCGTGTTTGGCAGCCGAATCGCTTGTTTACAAAGCTTATTGCTGTCTTTTCTTTTTTATTTTTTTGTTGTACCACGGATGAACGGATTTTGGCTCTTTGCGGTTGCCAAAAACAGAAAATTGTACACACCCACACACACAAACACAAACACAAGCAGATGGGATGTCTTTAATTCGAATCTAATAAATTATTTGCATGCCTTTGGGCCAAGACAACGACAAGTTCGAGTTTCACTTCACGCCATTTTATGGATTTTCCTTCTCACAAGCAAACACACTCACACTCACACACACACACACACACACACAGGGGCACACGCATACTCGCATTGATTTTCCCTTTTCTTTTCTTTTCCTTTTTTTTTTTTTGGCTATTTTTGCTATTTTCAAGGCTCTGCTACTTACATCTCACGTAAAATGTTTAACTTTGACACCAACAAAATTCCGCACGCAAGCACTAAAAATACTTGAAAAAAAAAGAGGAAATGTAAAAACAAAACACCACACAAAACACAAATTTCCCAGCCAAAGCAGCAGTAGCAGCAGCAACAACAACAACAACAACACGACTGCCCTTCAGTCCAGCGCCCCGTTTTTCCGCCTATTCATTTTCCTATTTTCCAAGTCCTTTTTAGAAGCGACTGTTTGCTGATTGCTTTTTGTCCACCATCGTTGTTGTCTTTGTTGATTTTGTTGATTTTTGCTGCAATTGCTGCTGCTGCTATTGCTGCTGCTGCTGATGATGCTGCTGCTGCTGCTGCATGTGTAAACTTGGAATCGTGCCGAACCTGCCTCTCAGCCTGCTTCACAATCCGGGCAAGATTCCGATTCCGATTCGGATTCCGGGTCTGAATCCGGGCAGAACCACCGACTGCAGCGTGGGAGAGTCAAGAGCCAACTGACGGCGTCGCTGAGGCTGCGCCCCATTAGATGTTGCTGGCGTCGGCCAGCAGCAACATCGCTGCTCCAACAGCAACATCGCAGCCCCGGCAGCAACATCGCAGTGCAACGCAACGTGTTGCAAGCTTTTGTTCGATTCATCTATGGATTTCTTAACTTTTTGAAAAAACATTCTTAGTATTTTTTCGAACCAACCAAAAGCTTTTCATTTCTAGGCCTGGTCTAGGTTTTTAAGCAAAAATAAGTTGCAAAGCTTTTTTGGGAAGCACCACCCCAAAAACTGAATGCAAGGACCAAACCTTTCAAAGACAACCACAAAACTTATACAAAATTTGTATTTTCCGAAACAAACTTAGTCCTCGAATTAGTACTGCTTGGATGAAAAAGCGCCATCTATGGGGAATATACCCCCATATGCTTTTCCTTGCTCACTAATTTCGAATTCAAAAATTAATTGGTTGATCATAATTTACAAGTGATTTTAACTTGTTTTGTCCGCAAACAGTTTCCGTACTTTCCCAGTAAAAACATCAAGGCTTTTTTTTTTAATAAGTAGTTTGGAAATGATTTTATTTCAATATATTTCATACTCATTCATTAGTTCATATTTTCTGTTTTATACTTTTACACAAAAATCCTTGTGTGTGAGTTTGTCCCAATGTTTGTGTTCGTCTCGTAAGTATTGTATTGGTATTGGTATTGGTGTGTCCTTGGAGAGTCCTTTCGTCTGTCTGTGTTGTATGTAGTTGTGTTTGTATGCCATTAATCTGAGTTGGACATAACTAAGTGTTAAATACAAGTTGAGTTATCTCATTTAAATATTTGTTTACCATTTAAATGCATTTTCGGAAAAGTTTCATTGAATTTCTCGTTTCTTAGCTGATTTGTTAGTTGTATACCCAGTATGTTTTTCATTTCTGTGAGGGCGACTCAGCGATATTTGATTCATTTATTTTGGTTAGGGTGTGCCAAGAGCTTTTTACATCTATATGTTTAGGCTTGTATAGGTGTATGTATGTATGTGTGTGTATATATAATAACTATTAATTACTTCACATAGAATTTGCTCAGTTTTGTTTCATCTTGCTCTTTGGTTTGTTTTCTCTATATATCTCTTGCATTACTGTGGATTCTTTTTTTTGGGGTCGTGAGGGGTATTATTTTTGGGTTCTGTGAGGGAGGACGTGCTTGAATTACCCTAATTTACACTCATTACTTGCTCTTCTGCTAGATTACTTTTCTGCCGAGCTGCTATTTCCTGATCCTTACTATTTGATCATCGTTACGAGTTCACCTACTTTCGGGAATATCCTTAAGATATTCGGGCTTGCTTGCACTCTGATTTCTGTTGTCACTTACAAATTATAACTATTTGTATGTATATATATATGATTCTATTTGTTATGTGTATATATATGTGTATATATATCGATTTCCTTCATTGACATAAAATTTGAAAATATACTATATAGCATGTTTTTGTGACCCTGCAAATGTAGTTTTAAAGAATCTCTGGGGATTTCACTATTTTGCAAGGGTATATCCAGCTTTCTTCATCTATTTTTTTTCGGTTTGCCTTCTTATTCAGAAAGACTTGCAACTTTGGAGAAGAAAATACAGTTCCAGTAGACTGAAGAGCAAGCGGCCAGGCTTTTAATGTATATATTCAATATATCTTTCCTTAGATTCGTATGGGTGTGGGCTTTTGAAAGAGCATCTACACTTCGGCCTGCCGAAGAATGCCGTTCAAGGATCTCTTTCTCTCTTTCTTTCTTACTTTCTGCTCGTTTAAAATTTTTGTTTCTCTCGCTTTTGTATATTAAAATTGTAGTCTTTGTATTTTGTGTGTGTTCTTGGAGTAAAGGCTTTGTCAGTTGTTTAGGAGGGTCTCTAGTAATTACATATATATAATAGTTGCATTTTAGTTTTGTAGAAGAATAGCTTTCGATCAAGTGTAGATGGAGGCCAAGGCTTTCGGGGGTTAAGCAGTGGGGATCTGGTGTGTTCGGGTTTTCGATCTGGTGCAGGGTGTGGTCCATTATCGGTGGTTGGATGCCTTGCCTGGACATTCGATTATTCGGCAGACAGAGTCAAAGAGTTCTGGTGTTAGAAAAAGTGCATTTTTCCTCAAAGTTTTCTATGGTTTAATCAATTTTTTAATTCATTATTAAATCAATTTCGTGTTCCAAAAATCTCTAATAAGAAATATTAAAGCTGCTGCCAAAAAAATTGATTTGAAAAAAATGTATTGTATTGTTTTTTTTTAGTTAGTGAAATTTTTTTTTCTTTTCTAATTATATGCTAAAAAAAAAAATTTTTTTTTTAGACTTAGTAAAATGTTTTTATTGAGGGTACTTAAAAAAAAAACAAATACAGTGCTTTTGTTTTAATTTATAAAAAATGATCAAAATATTTGTTCAACTGATTTAGAAAGAAATGGCATTTTTCCCAGCGGTTTACCCTTTGACAAAGCTGCGTTTAAGTGCAGGGGGTTTTTTTTTTGAGTGTGTGGGGAGGCTTGTGTTTGTGTGGAAACCGTTTAGGAAGTTTATCTTTAGATTTCTAGTTGTTTGTCGTCTCTTGCTCGAGTTGTAAGTCACGTAGAAAAGTATAAAGTAAGATGCATGCGGTTCCGTTTTCCATTTCTAAATATTCTTTAAATCCATTCCCACTGTCCCGCTTTTAGTCCACCTCTATTCCGCTTTATTACGTTTTTAGCTGATATTGTTGATCTCGATTTAGATCGGTTAGTCGACAGGTAGTTGTGGTTTAGACCTACGAGATTGTTTTATACGTTAAACTGCATACTAAGACATTTGTATTTGTATCTGTGTCCGCGTCGGTGTGTCTGCGTGTATGTGTGTGTGTGTTTGTACATATACTGAATCGTAATCGTAATCGGAATCGCTATCTTTATCGTTTTGCACATACATTTATACATAAATATGTAGCTGCAGGGGTTAGGAGTTCAAGGGTAAGTGTAGGGTGTTTAGTCAAGTTGGTCCAATTTGCTCATATCCTTGTCTACATATTTGATTAGGTACGAACAAGCATTTGTCTTTGGAACTAATTCATTCGCTATCGCCATCGAATCTCATTCGATTTATGACATCGCCCAAATATCATTAAACCAACTTTCGGAAGGGGGAAGCATTTAATTGACTGCCAAAAAGTACGCTAAATATTTACGTGATTGCCGAAAAAGGGATAAAAATATCCCTGCAATGGTCTTTAGCAATCCTATCATTATTTCATATGGTGCAGCTTTCGATCGTTCAAATAATCCTATTTTAAACATGCAAAAATATTCCAATAATATCTATTTCTAATCTTATTAATTGATTATATTTGAAAATGTAAGTCGGACCTTAAAGAAAACATTCTATTAATATTTAATGGCTTATAGTGGAAGATATGAGCTTATCATTTTCCACTTCTTTTATTATTTTAATGTTTTATTTTTTTAATGGATATTTGCCTATTGTCTTCTTTTTATATTAAAAAAATATTTTGATAAATAATTTTGAGATAAAATGTAAGAAAAGCTTTTGTTGTTAAGTGTTTACATTTTATGTTTGTGAAACTTTTGTTTAAAAGCATAGCTGGTCAATTGAAATATTTTGAAATACCATGGATTTTTTTCAAAAAAATACCTTATTGATATCTGATGCTCCATTGCAGGAACATTTATATTTTCGGCCTGTCAAATTTGTTCGTTCTTATTAGGTTTTGTCCCAGATCTGGCTTCTTTTGCGATTCTTTTTGCTTGGGCTCTAAATTAGTTAAGTTATGCTTAAAATTGTTACCTTTTGGTTTTTGGGTTTAGTTGTCATTTATTTTTGTTTTTTTTTATACATTTGTAAAACACCTAGAGTTCTTTTTTTATGATTTTGTTGTAGTTGTAGTATCTTTAAGATAAATATTTATGTATATATATATATTATTTTAATGTATATGTATAGTTGGTTTTTTTTTGAAAGTTCTTTGTTTGGATTTCTTTTTTTTGTTTTTGTTGATTTTGTTTAAATTCAAGTTTTAGTCTTTATGTTTTGTCATTCAAACAAGGGAAGTTGGTGGCATGAACAATATAAAACGCTGTGACCAACGGTGAGGAGTTTTCCGAGGAAAACCCATCCAAACAGCTGCAATGCAGTACAGTAGTAGTTGTAGTTGTAGTAGTAGTATTATAAGGCAACAAATCAATTTGATGTGTTAGCTAATTTAGAGTGGTTCGTTTAGGTAGAGTCTTACAATCTAAGAGTTAGCCATCAAGGGATTTAATTTGCAATTATTTTCCATTCATCGTTTTTTCCCTAGTCAATCTAGGTGGATACCCCATTTGTGTGAGACAGTGTCCTGCAGGCACACTGACAGAAAACTGTTGTAAGTGCGGGGACTGGAAGGTACATACACGAATACATTCGATAAACTTATAATTAGCCAGCTAGTTTCAAATCTAACTACAGAAAACACACAACGAGCAGGGAATCCACACGCGAATAGAGTTACTTAGTTGGGCATACACCGATGCGATCTGCTTTATGTATATATGTATATATATACTCATATATATATATGTATGTATAGTACTTTATGACTTAGGCACTACAACAAACGTACACACAACTTAGAGAGGAAATGACGTATACACATACTAGGTATATGCTGCAGCTTGCAATTACAATGCACAATTAGTTAAGAGTATTTTGCTGCGATTTGTTAGACATTCAAATGTACACCGAATAAATATTCTCTTTAACTTGTTTCCTCAAATTGAACGCTCAATTAGTGCTCTCTTAAATACACACATTCAAAAAAATTCAACTCTTTATAACAGTATCTGTATTGGTAATTGTAACTGTAACTGTATCCAAGGACCAGCTTGGTCTCATCTTCTCAACTTCAATACATTCATTATTTATCCATTTTGCTACTTTTGCTGTGTCGCCATATCATAATTGAATTAAAGTTTCGCCTTCGCCAATCAAGTTCACTGTGCAAAATGTGCAATCAATTTTTTCATTGCTCTCCATTCGTTTATGTGTGTGTGTGTTTGTTTTCTTTTCTTTTCTTTTCTTTTCTTTTTTTTAGCTAAATTTAATTACATACAGAAATTTACATTGATCATAATTAACTTGGTTTTGTTTGCATATTTTCTGCATTTTGCTGGGATATGTGCATGCAGTTGGCCTCAAATCGTTTCTATTATCGAATGCAAATTGATATTTTTGTAGGGGATTTTTGCTCATTTTCGAAAGGTTTTCAGCAGCTGAGAGTTGGCTAATCGAAAGAGGTCCTTCCAATTGAGTGCCTGCCATTAGTGTCGTCATGCAGCAACACCATTTCCCTTGCAACATCGACAGCTGCGGCTGCAAATCCAATTGACCGACCATGGACACATCTCCTGAGGGCATCGCGTTGCCATGGCTTTCCCCCCCAAAAACTCGGCTAAAAATCGCAACAAACGGAAAATAAAACAAACAAATTGACAAAAAAAATAGAGGTGGAGTCCTGCTACTAGCAAATGGAATTAGGCGTCTGGGGGCGAATTTACATCGCATAAACCTGCGACCCCAGCCTGTTGCATATATGCAATCGCCGAAACTTGTTTTGCGTAATTACACGTGAATTTCCCATGAGTAGGAAACCAACCAAGGCCATCGTTTTGGTGCCCATAATCCTGGATTCCTGGGCATTCAAATCGTTTTTGGTTTCTGGTCAGCCCCAGTTTTCACGGAAATTTGAGGCTGGCGAATCGAGAATCGTAAAGTATGCTGGTGCTATTAATTAGGATTTCCATGCAATGTAAGGTGGGCCAAACTGGTTTAACTGAATGCATTTTCCTAATGAGCCCACAAAAAGAATTCCGTGGAATTTCCATGAACCAGATTGTTAAAGGAAAGTAAACTATGTTTAAAAATTTGGATAACTACCAAATTGAGGATGTTTAGACGAGGTTTTTCTCTTAGGAAATTTATCCAGAAACTGCAATAGTTAATATTATTTGAAGTTTTCATCTAATTTAAATTCTGATTTTTAAGTTCTGGTTTTAAGTTGCCGAATATATGTTTTCTTGAGTTTTTACTTAAAGTATCCATTTAAAGAAAGATAATTTCCTAAAAATTGCAGTAGCTCATAGCCTCCCCTTTTGTGACCCACAAAACTTAATGCAGTTAATAATAATATATGTATATATTTGTGTGTGTATGCGCGTGTACATAAATAAAAATACTTAAAAGGTAAATAAGAGAAATAATAATAAAAAAAAAAAACAAAACAAGAGACTAAAATCTGGGGGAACTTAAGGTTAATAGTTAAGAGCTAGGCTTAAAGCTAAGCCACCAGGCGAAGACAGAGTCCCAGCTGCTAGTTGCAAAGAGGAATGGAGCAACTTGAATGGGGGACAACCACCCCCCCCCCCCTCCCCTCCCCCCCCTATCCCCTCTCCATTTAGACATTTTCCGGTTCGGGCAGCTTGCGTTCGCAACAATGACAGACGAGGGCGTTCAAACGCTGGCCAATTGCCGACCACACGGTCATCGACATGGAGGACACCTCGCAGCTGGAGGAGGCGTCTGCCTGCTGATGCTGCTGCAGCCGGCGGTGCTCCTCGTCGTCGTCGTCGTCGTCCTCCTCCTCGTGATCCTCCTCCTCCTTCTCCTCCCCCTTGCCTCCTCGTGCCCGTGAATCCTCCCTGGTGCTCCCCTGTTGTCAAATCTTTGGGCCCGCCTCCGATGACGAGCCGCTGGCCAGGCCCAGCTCCACACTGAGACTGGGTGGCACTTGTGGGGCATTGGCCTCCAATCCTCCTGCTCCTGCTCCACCTCCTCCTCCACCTCCTCCTCCTCCACCCGCACTCTGCAGGGTGTTGCTGCTGGGATGGCGACTGCTGTCGTTGGAGGAGTATCGCATCATGCCGGGCACATCCAGGCTGTAGGCGCGATGGCGCTGATGGGCGGCATCATTACCGGTGGTCATGGCTCCACTGCCTCCTCCTGCGGCTCCTCCAGCCTCGCCCCTTGCCGGCGATCCTGTACTGTTGGTGGTGATGGTGCAGCACATTCCCGGTTTTATGGCTCCACCGCCACCGCCTGATCCCTCTTGATTTTCCACCAAACCATTGGCATTATTGTTGGCCCGTCCCGAATTGGAATTGGAACCGGGACATGGACTACTCCGTGTGCTGCCGAAGCGCTTGTTGCCCTTGTCGAAGCTGAAGCTAAAGTAGTCGGAGAATTGGCGCAGTCGCGATTTCCAGGAACTGCCACCGCCAGTCGATGGTCCTGGCACTCCACCCGATCCTCCAGGAATTGCGGAGCCACCGCTGGCATTGCTGCTGCGTGCACTGCCATTGCTGGGCAGGATTTGCTCGGTGACCACCTGGGGCGGTGGCGATATATTGCCATTCGATGAGGTGGCCACCACCATCGCCGGTGGTGCAATGGCCAGTGGCATCTTCTCCTCCTTGGCATCGCCCCCACCTCCAACTCCACCTCCCCCCTCACCCTCCGAATCCGCCTCGGTGCGAGCGAGTAGCTCCTTCAGCTGGCAACTCCCCGGATGATTTGTATTGGCATTGGTGTCCTGCGGATGGGCAACCACTGCACCACCACCACCACCACCACCGCCGGTGGCCTCCAAGCCGCAGCGATTGTGCCGTCCATAGAATACATTGCTATCCGAGATCACCTGCGGCAATCCGTCGGACAAACGGCGATTCCCGGCACTGCTGTACTGATCCAAGCTGACCGCCCGATTGTTGCCAAAGTGACAGCGATTGCTGTGGTAGCCATGGATGTTCCCATAGGAGTTCCGGATCCGCTGGCCACCGCCACTGCTGCACAGTTCGCCGATCATCGAGGGCCGCTTCTCGCGGGAGGATTTGCGGGAGGTGGAGTGCGAGGACTTGCTCCGGTTGCTGCTGCCCTCCGTGTCCACCTTGAACTTGGACGTCTTCTCGGCCACCTGCAGGAATAAAGTTTACCAGAAAGTTTGGATTAAATACTACTTGGTTGTCTGTAGTCCTTAAATGTTCTTAAAATAGATTCCATATCATTTCATGATCTTTAATTAACAATAAAAATAGTAATATTATTTCCTAATATTCTACGAATAGAAACCCATAAATATGGAATATTGAAAATTCAGAATATTTCAGCAAATAGAAAACTACAAAATAAATTGAATCTTGTACTTCCTACAGAAAATACGATTATAAGTTGGAGTCTCAGTGTTTTAAATCAGCAATATATTAATATATTAATGGATGTTTCCCATTTTCGAAATTATATTGCAATGTAAATAATTAAAAGTATTAATTTTGGGCAATTAATTATTTTGTGATCAGTTTTTAAAAGTACTTTTTTATGAACTTTTCTATTTGTTATAAATATATTATTTGGCAAATTTCAAAGGACTAATAGTTAAAGAAACCGTACACCCGTGTACTTATTATTTTGGCCAGTAGTGTACATAAATATTTCATATAATTTTGATGGGTGACTAATTTAAAATTAAGATGTGTTGTCCTAGTTAAACAATAGCCCAACTTAAATATTAAATTGATGTGTTCAACAATGTAGTATTTTATTTTGCTGGACTATCAAATCAAATCGGGTTTATTAGCATTAATTAGGTTTACTTTTTTCTTTCTGTGCATGGTGCTGGGGTACATATGTAAGAAAAGGAAAGTTCTTGCCCACTCACATCCACTTCGGTGGCCGTTTCCGAGTCGCCGCTCTCGCTGCCCTCGGGCAAATCGTGGAGCTCCGCCGCCATTCCGCCGGGCTCATCCACGGACGTCCTCGAGGCGGACTTCTGCGACGGGATGCTGCGCCGCGACTTGACACTGATCCCCGATCCGGAGCGCGGCATTTGCGGGGAGACGCTGCCGGCGGCATTGTTGCCACCGCCACCGCCACCACCACCGGATCCCGATCCGGATCCAGTGCCACCAGCTCCTCCGCCGCCGGAGCCCTGCGAATTGCCCTGGCCCTTGTCCAGACTCATCTTATCGCTGGCCGCTCCCGGAGTGCTGACCATCGCCGCATTGGAGTCGATGGTGCCGCTGTTGCTGTCCGAGGTCGCCGACGTGTTGCTGTCCGCCACCGACTTTCGCGTCTTCGTCTGGGCATCGTTGAGGCGCCTGGAAATGGGACAAACCATGATATTATATTGGCATTGATTTGGGATTATAAAATTTCATACATCCCCAATCCGATAAATTCCTTTTACATTATAATAATATCTGGCTGATGTGTCAGCATATTAATTTTCTTATTATTTCCTATTTTCAATTTCTCATTAAAAATGTTGCTATGAATATATCTATAAGCTTATTCAAAGTAAATTATAATATTCTATACTTTTAATAAATATTATTTTAAGAGGCACTAATTGTACTTAATTTCTCAATAACTAGAAAAACTTTATACAATAGAATTTTATACTATTATATTTTGTAAAAAAAAAACTGTTTTGTAAAATTGTCTTTTATAATAAAAAAACAAAAAAACAGATACTTTTTAACAGGGTGGTAAAAAATCTATTAAAAAAGCACATTTGATTTGATATTAAAAAGTAATGAGAATGAATTTATAAATGTGGTAGTTTTTTGTTTCATCGTGTTCTCAGTTTAAAAATGTGTTGCTCTTAGTAAAGTGTACAAGTTAACCAATGATTTTAGTGGATTTTAATTTGTGGGAAGTTAGTAAGTAGTACCTGTAGTACTCCAGGGCGATGCGCACGGGTATGATGATGAGGTCGGTGAGCTCCGGCACCAGTTCGCCCAGGGCCTCGAAAAGTGGGAGGAGCACCAGGCCGATGAAGCGGACCTGGGAGCCCGGCTTGCTGACCTTGTCGGGGTCCATAAAGGGCGTCACCGGCAATCCCTCCGACTTCTCGGCGGCACTCTGGGCGAAGAACTCCTGGAGCAGGCGGTCCAGCCAGGGCTCGGCCACGTCCATGGGTCGCGCCTCGTTCGAGATGTCCGCCACCTTGATCAGGATCATGCAGAGCTGCGGAAGGAATGTCCTGCGATTAGCCAATAGTCCTTGGGCGGAGATCCCTCTCCTGTTCTTACCAGATTAATGTGCGCACGGTTGCTGTAGTCGAAGACGGGCGTGATCTCCATGAACTGGGTGAGGATCTCATTGTGACGGGCCATGTCCGTGGCCAAAATGCAACGGATGATGCCCTCGCGAATGTTACTAAAGGATAAGAAAATAAAGGGAGAAGTTAGAATTTTTTTTTAATTAGTGGTCAAATGTCTTCGGTGATTCCGGTAGGTTAAACCATTGTAGGACGTATTACGTATACAATGTCTTAAACACAAGACCTCTTAAAGTAATGTATAAAGATCTGCCTAAAAACAATTTTAGTCTTGGCAAATAATACAGCTATAATTTCTGTAAATTTATTAAGTAGCAAATATATATATATATGTTGAACAAAACAAAATGTTCATCTATACCTATTACCAAAAATGCCAAATACTCAGGGAATAATAAAAACTCACTTCGCTGAAGTGCATCTTAATTTGGTGCATTTCTCTACGGAAACCAGTTGTAAGAATTTCGAAGTTGTGCCCTTTTGATTTTGCTGAAAACTCTGCAGTTGAAGCTGAGATTGCGCTTTCCATGGCCAAAACATGGCTCTCGTGTGGGCACGGGGAAAGTGTTTACGGAAAAACAAGGCCAATGAAGTGCTTTCTTTCCCGGGAAAAAAAAGGCCGAGCGACTGACAAATATAGTGCGCGTAAAATATCAAATTGCATTTCGTTTTATTTGAAATTGAGGCAACGGCGCCCAAGACAAGAGTCTCGGGTGCAGCGAAAAGAAAAGCGAGAGGAAAATCGTGTGGAAATTGAATTTTTCGTGTCAAGCTGCATTGACGTGGAAACTCCAACTCCAGGTGGAAAATTCAACACCTGGCGCACTTAAACTGCAAATAGAGCGACGCTTTTCACCTGCCGTCTGTCACGACTTTATATATATATTTTGATATATATATATATATATTTTTTCATTATTTTCCCATTGAAGACGCCGACATCAAGGGGATTAACGCAACATTTTGCTGTGGGAATACCGCTGAAAGTTGAATGGAAAATTGCATCTCCATCAATAAATAAACAATTTCTGACAATTTGACGGCTTCAACTGGGTTGGCCAACTAATTTGATTCATGGAAAAATAGACTCTGGTAATGGAGAGCCTTCAAAATCAAATGGGTTACCCAGAAAGTGAAGGATGTATAAAAAATATATTAGGTTCATACAATTAGGGTGTCTTGTATTTAGATCAATCATGAATTTCCTATGTTGCATTATTGGCAGTAATCATGTCTAATTCCTGTTTACCATTAACAATTTACAACGCCTTCGTGTTTCCTTTTACTTTAAAAGGAATTTCTTTGGAAAGTTTATGGACTAAAACTTACAACAAAGTGTTTTGTACACAAGTATTTGTAGAAATCCTTATCCTTTAAAAAGTCAACTAAAATTTAAAGATTTATAATTGATAGCATGTACCAAATAAAATAATGTATAGCAAACTAATGTTTACGACTTATTTTATTTGATGTTTAAGAAATTTTACTAACTAGAGGTCTAGTTCAAGTTCTAGTTTAAGTTCATTTCAATTACGTATACTTAATATTTTTTTTGCTGGAAATTTTGTAACAAATTCAAAGAGGCTTGCCAATCCAACATGCGACCACTGTTCCCCAGGGTTTGGATTAAAAAATTGAGCTTATTTTTCCGGATTTTGGTAACATTCGACCACTATTTCCTCATGCTTTCCTTAACAGATAGGTAAACAACGGTTTCAAATTGCTGTTATTGCAAAATAATTCCGCTTTGATTTGTTATAAGATATTCTTTAAATTTAATAATCTGCAGAGCTATCATATCAGGAAGCAGAATAGGTTGAAATGCAATTATCTGCTGCATTGATGGTCACAAAATACCATGCATTTTCTATTTATTAAGGAAGAGTCTCCATCATCATTATCACATTGAAAATGGAAAATCAAAAGGAATGCACAGCAACTTGTAATGCCTGTCACTTAATTAATATGAAGGCATGCGTCTTTGGGACTCGAATCGGTATTTAATTAATAACAAAGCAAATACCCATAACTTTTGAGTTGGGATTAGACTCAAATTGAATTGCGACGGCAAGAGATTATGAATCCAGAAAGGATTTGGTTTTGAAATCGGCAAGACAGACAATGAAATTGAGCAGTCAGCTCCCTGTTACCCGAAATTCATTCCGATGAAAGTGGCAACTGCAGTGATTATCTATTGCCGGCATTATCCTGCCACAGGAGCGGCCACTCATCCTGCTGGCTGCCATGATGATGATGAATTTTGAAATGGAAAATGGAAAAAGGGGAAAAGGAGGGAGCACAAGGACTGCCAGATGAGCAAAGTTTTGTGCCGACGAAAAACGGCAACTATTATGCGCTAATTATGACTAAATAATTGCATGAAATGCGCCGAGCGCCAACCAAAACTCAACTCGAAACTAATTTGCAAAGCGTCGAGTGCCGAATCTGCCGCCAGCAGATCCTTCTCTTCGTCTACTCTACACTGCTAAAAAAATAGTTTCAAGTGTTTAAGATTTACTCATTTTTCAACAACAAATTCGGGTTATTGGACAAACTTCAAGCGCTAGTTAATAAAAATGCAACAAACAGCTTTGTTTAAAAAGTCCTTAAGTTTCTAAGTATTTATATTTTAAAAATAAATAGAAGTACAATGCATTTCTGCAGAAAATTAAAATTTCTATTAAGGTATCAATATTTTTTTAAAACTTGGAAAGGTTTATATTATATTTATAGTCATAAGCAAATATACTTTGTTATATATTATTATTTATGTATGTATTATTTAATCTATTGTTTTATCTTTTTCCCCAGAATTAAAGAACAACAATTGAAAAAACTATATTTAGGGAAAACTTATTAACCAAAGAAAATTTTTTTTTTTCAGTGTCTTTCCTACTTTTTGCCTCTGCCGTTTGCGTTCTCTTTGATGATTTATTTTTGGTTCAAGTGAAGCAGCTGGTTTCAAGTTTACCACCCCGCCCCCAATATTTTTCGTCCACATTTTAGCTTCGCACATCCTTCATCAGTTTGTTTGTTGAATTTTAATTGAATTTTTATTTTTTGATTTTATGGCAGAAGACCGGCAGTGTGCGGTCAGAACTTGATCCCTAAGCAAACACTCCTTGTGCTGATAGTTTACTTACTAAACAGCCATAAACAAATGGAGTAATCTCAATTAAGCGAAAAGGAAAGTTGCAAACTAAATGCAAAACCTATTTTCCACTATGTCCCTTTGCAATTTCTAAATGCATGCTATACCCTAATTGCGATGGGATTTCGAGACTAACCAAATAAAGATTGCCTTAAAGAAACGGAAAGGTTTAAAGAAGAGCTACTTTATTCTGTTGACTTTTGGGTAAAAAGTGAAAGAAATGTATCTGTAAGATCCTAATAAGTGATTCAACCAAAGCTACAGGCAAATTGCACTTTAGTAATGGGAAAGTTTATATATTGTTACATACAAATGTTTTTTTCCAATTAGATAACGCTAGTAAGTAATTTAAGACAAATGTAACACTATTGGTAGTCACATTCTGCCCTTTTATTTAGTTCTTAGCTATAATCAAACTTTAATCAATCGAGAGGCCAATCTGTCCTTCTCCTTTTCTTTCGCGCTTCCTTTCATTCTTTTCAGTGTCATTTTATCTCTTTGTCAGGCAGTGTAAACTTGACTCTCAACTTTATTAAAATCCAATTCGCAGCGAGCATTGCTCACAATCGAAACATCGCACAGAACACGTCGCCCTACACTGAAAATGTTTAGTGTTAAAAACTAAGGCTGTATTTTTTTTTACAAAGAATCAATATTTTTGTTTCTTTATAGTCATGTTCACTGTATAGTTTCAATTATAGTTAATATATATATTTTTTGAATGTGTTATAATATATTAAGAAATTATTTTAATCTGATAAAAATATCAAATTCTATTTCATATTGGTTTTTTTTTGGACATCTCTGATACAAACTCTACTTAAGGCTTACATAAAAATAGCTTATTATTTAGAAAACCAAAAACAATGTAGATTTTTTTTTTCCAGTGTATTTGTATTTGTCTGAGTGAGAGGGGAAAATCATTGAAGGTGGCCGGCTAATTTGGTTTTGCATGCCAAAGTGAGTAGGCTTGGTGGCCAGAGGGGAAAGGTGGGAAAGAAAAGGGGGAAGAGTAGTGGGGAAGGGGGGGATGATTAATTGATTACGCGTGGGCTCTGATTTAACGGTAAAAGCTAAGCACAGCGACTTCGTAGTGAATGTAGAACCAGGGGGCCTTATCTCCGGTTTCATTTTAATGATTTGGCCTTGTAACGAGCTCATTCACTACACACGTTTTTCCATTGATTCCATTGAGTGGAAATTAAAGTTTTCCCTGTAATTTTAATATACTTTTAATGTTTCATTTAAGATTTAAATTAATGGACTAAGGTTTTTATCCTCGAAAATGTATTTGTTGTTTTTTTAATCAAATTCATTACAAGGACTACGATTTTAAAACATCCTTATATATTTTATTGTAATTATACAATCGCTGGGTTTTTCAACACTTAACATATTATTATATATAAAATCTAATTTGCTAAAATAAACACCAAAAAAATAAAATCGCAAATTTGTTTGTTGTGTATGCCTTCTTTGTTGTAATTATACAATCGCTGGGTTTTTTAACATTTAACATAATATTATATATAAAATCTAATATACTAAAATAAAAACAAAAAAAAAACATCCCAAATTTGTTTGTTTTGTTTGCCTTTATTATTGTGATATTAAAAGAGTCTTATACATTGTATTGTAATTATACAATCGCTGGGGTTTTCAACACTTATTATGGGTAAGGGTATTTCTGCCCGGTGTTGGCCAACTTGTGGGTAAACCCTCGTTTTCGCTGACATCGCCGGAGTCACGTTGAATGTCAGGCGCGGTTATCGACGGCTTATCAGCAGCCCGGACTTGGGTTTGGATTAGAACTTGGACTCAGTAAACAATTGTCGCTGTAACTGGAAGTGAATTGCAATGGAGCTGCCTTCGATCACCTGGTTCCTGGTCCTGCTCGTTCTGCACCCGGAATTGGCCAAATCGGAGGAATGCCAGCAGCAGCTGGAGATTGACATGGATCTGGAGGAGATGGCGTGCAAGAATTTCCATCAATATGCCTGCGGAAATTGGTATGCCAGCAGTGTGCAGCGAAAGTTGGGTGCCCACGACATGCGATCCAAGTGGCTGGCCAACATGAAGATGCAGCTGATCCGGCACCTCGGATCCGATTCCAGTCCGGTGGTGGACTCCTCCTCCTCCGCCCAGCTGACCACTTTCTACCAGAGCTGCATGTCCAGTGACCAGTCGCTGAGATCCTACACCGATGCCCTCATCCGAAGTAGTGGCACCAACTTCCCATTGTTGCAAAACAACTCGAACAGCTCTTTTGATTGGATTCCGGTGAATGCGGCACTGCGAACGTATGGAGCCCCGAGTTTTTGGAGACTCTTGGTCCTCGACAATTGGCAATTGGCCGATCAGAAAATCTTCTACATACTTTCGCCCACATTCGACCTACTGGGCCATGGAGATGAGTTCACTGAGTTCTTTTACGAGCGTAACCTCAAAATGTTACTCATGGAATTGGGTTTGCGAGTGCGTAGAGCGGCACAATTGGCTGCGAATCTGGTGGAATTCGAGAAGAGTCTGCGGAATCTTACGCCTGAGAATATGGAGAATCTTTCCGTTCTGCGAGAACCCCAAAAGCTAAGGGACTTGGAACTGGAATTGCCGGAATTGCAGTTAAGGCGATACTTTGACACCATTCTACAGGGTCTCGATTGGGATCCATCCACACTGTTGCTGGTGGCGGACATCGGCTATTTGCGGGGTCTGCAGGGATTGCTGGCCAAGCAGACGGATCCCCTGATCCTGTCCACCTGGTTGCTACTGCAATTGCCCCTGCGTTTCGAGTACAAAATGCACGAGGATGAGAAACTAAGCACACAGCAGGTGCGTTGTCTGGATCAGCTGAGGAAACTAATGCCAGGAGCATTGGGTCGTCTCGAAATAGAACTGATGTTGGGTGAGAACTACCAGGATGTGTATGACACCTCCATACAGCAGACAGCACTGCTGTTCAGGGATCTCAAGCAGCAGTTTGAGTTGAGTCTGAATCGAACGGAGGTGTTCAACGAGGATTTGGTGACCCGCAATTTGGCCGTGGAAAAGCTGCGGGCCATGCGATTGCTGACACCACGCCTGCAGGATCCCACAGGACATGCGGCGACAGGTGCCACGCCCCTGGGCAGCAATCTCGATGAGAATCTCATCCAGCTGTCACTCAACCAGGCCAGATTGGAGTTCCGCCAGGCGGTGTTCGGCGCCGAAGCGGTGACCTCAATGCCCTCGGATCCCTTCTCCGTGAATGCCTACTATCGCCTCAAACTGAATCGCATCGAATTGCCGCTGGGTCTAATGGCCACGCCCCTTGCCCGTGAACACCACTGCCCCAAGGAGGCGGGATTGGGCTTCATCCTGGCCCACGAAATGATGCACGCCTTGGACTACGATGGCATTAATTACGATGCCACTGGCCAACTGGCCAATGGTCAATGGCCGGCCAGAGCCATCATCCGATTTGGGGTGCGGGCCAATTGCTATATCGACCTGTACGGTAATGCCACGGTGGCCATCAATGAGAATGTCGCCGATAGCGAGGGTCTACGCTTGGCCCTCGACACATTTCGCCGGCGGAATGGCACCCAAAATCTAAGGGATTTCTTTGTGACCTATGCCCAGAACTGGTGCGGCACCAGCAATGCGAATCTATCAGGAATCCCCCAGATGGTGACCCACTCGGGTCATGTCGACCGGGTCAACAAAGTGGTGGCCAATCTGCCGGAATTCGGAGAGGCTTTCCACTGCACGACGACCAGTCTAATGAATCCCATCAACAAGTGCCGCATTTGGTGAACGATTCCATGGCCTATCTACATTCTTTTTTCAAACATATTGTGACCTACCCGACCCTGCAATCAACTAGACAATAACAATTGGTAAATTATATTTTAAAACGAATAAGATCATCTAAGATTAAAGGCATGTGTGAAACTATTTTAAAATGATTGGTGGACTGCTATTTTTTTCAAAATAAAAGACTCTGGACTTGTTAGTAAATAAGCAAATCAAACTTTGCAAATTTCAAATGGGCTTTAAAAATGTTCCTACAACAATATTTAAAGTTTAAATTAAATAAGTTTATAGCATTTGAAGTTTATGTTTAATAAGTTGTATATCATATAAAATATTTGCAGACTTCTTATAAAAGTTTAAAAATTAAATTGCAACTTAAACGTATCTTCTCCGATTTGAAAAAATTTTGTAAGATATACATTTATAGCTTTTTTAAAAATCAGATTTTATAATGTTTTTATAGTTGCTTATAAATTTTTAAGAATTTTAGATATTTGTTTAGAAATGCAGAATCTGTTAGATAAAAAAAATTATCTGACTTATGTTAGGACAAAGGCATTAAAATTAAATTAGAAAATCGACTTAAAGTGAGTTTTATAAAATGAATTCCATTGTTATTTGTCGGCGGTTGAACATTATTGAACCTTTTTTTATACCTTTGCCTCAATCGACTTTTCAGCCACACTTTTACATTTTCACTTTTTTTCCCTTTTTTTTTTCTCCCAGAAAATACAAACAAGTCGAGCATTTTTTGTGAAATTGAAGTTTCGCCGCAATCAAATAAAATGCAACTGTTGCAACACGCGTAAAACGTTCTGTTCTTTGTTATTGCCACGCCCCCAGGCTCTCTACCGCCCACATCGGCACTAATACATGAAAGTAAAGAGAGTGCCCAAAATACCAGAAATTGGAAACTCTGCCCAACAATATGCAACAAAAAAAGAACTGAAAACTCACAATAGAAAATAACAAAGAATTGATGCTTTTCTCCTGACTAAATTTTAAAATATAAAAAACACAAACAAAATCAATTAATTGAGACTCAAATTAAAAGGGATTAAAATAGTTTCCGAAAATGTAATTGTTGGCCATATGAACAATAAGAATTGAATATACTTCTTGGTGAATATTTACTGAGAAACTTTAGTTGAATGCCATTTTCATTACTCAAGTTTCACAAATTTGCTCGCCTTGCTGAATTTTCGAGATGATTCTCATTGGGCTCTTGTTATTACCAAGTCAATTGAAATAACAATATTTACTAATTTAGTAAGACATTACTCGAACAATGCCTAAATGTATGTGCATGCCTTCCATTTCTCTGGCAATAATCATGCCAAGTAATCGCAATGACAACTGTCTGCAGATTGTTGGCAAAGGCCACCCCGTTTTCCCCTCCAATTTTCTTGGATTTTCCCACCCGCTGATGATGCCTGGCATATTGTGTGCATTTGCGGACAAGTTTTGCCATCAAAAACTCCCAAAAGTATCCAATAGTTTATGCACGCAAACTTGCCAGCGGAAAATGGGGTGGTGGGGAAAATGGGTGGAAAATCGGGAGGCGTTGTCAAGGGCGCGACTTTCCGTTGATTGCGTTTCTTGTGTATGATGATGCTTGCCATAGTGCTGATGATGAAGATGTCCCAGCCTCCCATTTTCCATTTACCATTTACTATAGACCATTTCCCATTTCCCATTCCCCACGATTTTCCACACTTTCCGTCCACATCTACGCACATCCGCAAGTCAAAGTCGAGAAAAGCATTTCGCCGGCTAATCCACTTAATTAGTGTTTGTGGAATATTTTCCAATATAAAATGCATGCAATGAGTGCAGAAAAAAAGTACGCAGAATAAATGAAATTGCGGGAAAACTCGACAAGGAGGGGGGCATGGTGGTGTTGGAAAATGCTGTTTAAAATGCGAAAAGCCAGTTGCGAGGGGGTAAGTTAAGCGCGAAAAAAGCTTCGCTAAGCCACCAAATAGCTTTATTATATAAACGTATAATCTGCGGAAAGCAAACTCAGCACTTTTTCCGGTTTTTTCATCAACTAATCGAAGTTTATTAAGTTTTCATATACATAACCAAAAAGTGATCGCAAAACTGGCTTGAACAAATCAGTTGTTGCATTGAGCAATACGATTAAAAAATCAAAAGAAATACGGATTTTAAAGAATATATGTTATATTTCTTTATGATTATAAATAAGCATTTAAATATCCTTTTTTTTTATCTCAAATTAGTTTTATAGCACTACCCATCTATGATTTCCTGTCATAAAATAAATATCTCTATCTTTAAATTGAAAAGAATTCATTGTGAGATGCTATCTTAGATTAATTTTTTTTTAAACAGAGAATATGATACTCTTCCTTGGGGGACGTCGATTAAAACTTTGATCGATGAACAATTTACGAATATTTAGAATACGAATTTTGCCAATTTAAAGTTTAAAATTTAAGTCATATGTTGAAGAGTTTTTTGTTGCCATATTAAATACTCAAATGCTTCTACTGGGAGTTTAAACAAACGAAACCATCAGAGATTTATTTTAATTACTCGATAAATCGATTGTTTAATGGTAATTGTTCGATGGATTTCAATTGCTCGCGATTGGCGCATTTTCTCGAATTAAGTAAGGTTATAAGCGAGCTGAACACTGGGATTATGTCGTGTCCGGGCCAATTACAGCTTAATCTTCATTCCACTGCAGCTGAAAGCCCAGGAAAACGCAGGAAAACCAGGAAACCTATAAAAAAAACCAACAACAACAGCAGCAAGGACATTCGGTTCGGTGTTTCAACTTTTTTACTTTTGCGCGATACTTATTTTATGCCCAGGGAAATCAGTGTACTTGGGTATTTAGGTTTTTACTAGTGAAAAGGGTTTCAAACCCAAAATATGTATGTTAAAACTTTTTAAGATTAATACACTTTAAACATCAAAATATTTAAATAGAATCCAAATTACATTTATTAGGACAGACTTAAACTATTTATTTATTAAGAAATTATATTTAATTGTTTATAAGTAAATATATCAACCGATTTATAATGCAAAACGCCAATTTTCTTTCCCTTATATATTTTAAGTAATTGCTTATATTTTTTTACTAGGCTAAAAATGAAATTAAAATAAAAAGTGTAAGGAAATTCCATTTTTAAATGTTAAATGAAATATCCAAACCTAAGTATCGACACCAAAAGTAAATGCAGTGAGATAAAGAGGGCTTTGATATTCAAAATAATATTGTTGCATACTTTTAGACACCTCTGTAAGTGATATGAAAACCCTTGTTAAACCCCGATTAATATTTGATATAGAGGCGTCCCCCAGTCGACAGACTTCCTCTTACCCCTAGAATTGCTCATTTCTTCGCTCCTTAAATACCAAATCGATGGATTTTGCAGTCGTGCCTTGGCATGGATTTCAGGTTGGGCCAGGACAACAATGGGTGGGAGGTCAAGTGGGGTCGGTGGTTGGGCGATGGGCGGTGGGTGGTGGGGAACTGGGTGGTGCACTGCAGCTGGTAGCTGTTAATTACCACGGCAATGGGGCGAGCGTTTAATGCAATGCCATTTGGTACGTGCCGCGCATAAAGTGGATGCTCGGCAATTAATTGACCCACCGCCACCGAACCAAATCCCCGGCAAAATGGGACCTTAAATCGAGCTGAACTCACTTGAAGTTGTCGCGGCTGAAGTTCTTGAATATATTGCATTCGGGATGCTCCAGCAGGCGGAATGCTATCGAACAATGGTGATTCTCCAGCGGCGAGATGTCATTGTATCTGCATATAGTAATAATTATATATAATATATAATAATATAATTTATCCGTAGGATCGCGAGGATTTTACCCACCTGAGAGCCAGCTCGGTGCGGGCATTGATCTGGTAGATGTTGTTGTAGCCGGGGTGGTCAAGGTCGTGGCAGATGCAGGACACCAGCAGGATCAGACACTCCAGGTCGCCTAGACGACTTAGCAGGTTCGCCTGGCGCGTTATGGCATACATCTGGAAAGCGAATCGAAAGTTATAAAGTTTTAGAGGGTTTTGCATCGTTAAACTCATTGACATGTCATTGATTTATTTAAAATACATTTATAGTAGACTTAATTATCCTATTATTACAGAACTATTGTAAAATATCTTTTGGTTATGTGGAGAACATGAAAACTTCTTTAATGGTGCTAATATTCTAAATGTTCTACATTTTCTATCCTTAATGGCTTCAATATTTTATCTTGTCTGACTAATTATGTAGCTTTTTATTTCCCTTTGGAATTTGTAAACTAACATTTAAAATTTTTTAATTCATAGAAAGGAATTTATCCTAAATTTATTTCACTTTATGCGGGCAATTAGTGTCGGCGGTTCAACACTTAACCTTATCTAGCAGGTGCGGCTTAAAGCTGCTTGGATTTCCACCGGACTTTTCTTTCTATTTTCTGCACTTTTTTGATCCGATCCGCCGTCTATAGCCTTTATTTGGTACCAACGTTATCGTCTGGTCTTGTTGCATCTCGCACTCTTTCTCCATTCTGTGTGCCAACTTAATTTGTCTGCTGTGAAACCTTTGCAATAGCCAGGAAAAAGGGCCTGCCCCAACTTAACCCTCCTTTTTATGTCCTGCTCTAGTGGAGTACAAGGGCATATTGTATTCATGAAAATGATAGAATAGATTTTTCGTAAGCTGTAAAAACTATATTTGGTGCACAGACCGCAAATTTACGAAACTTTTAATGGTAGAGAAAAGTCTTTCAGCTTATTATTTTTTTTTTAATAACATTATCTATTTGTATGAAGGCAATTTATGTTTTATGCCCTTTTAGATATATAGATGCAAGTCTTTTGATATTAAATATTATAATAATATAATAATAATAAAACTAATTATAATCTTCTAGATATTTATTTATTATGTTATGAGATTTAAGTTTTGCAGATCCATATCTTTTGATATATCATATTTTAAATTGATATATTTAGCGTATTTTCACAGGGTATCTCAAAATCGAGGCACTGGATTGTAGAGCTTTCCATTGCAAATGAAGATGACTCGACGCGGGAGACCCTCAAGGAATTTCAACAGCGTTCAATTGAAGCTCTTCGAAATACGAAAGCAGCGCAAACTTTACTCAGCTCTTTGCACTAAAGTTGCAAAGGGGGTGGTGCAGGGTGGTTGGGTGGTTCTGGGTGGTTGGGTGGTTCTGGGGGGAGTGGGTGCCTAAGAGGTGAGACTTTGGGGTCTCTGGTCGTAAAAGTTGTTGCACAACTTTCGCCGCCATTGCGTTTACTTTGGCATTAAGTGCGACTGAAAGGGGCGGGGATCGGGATTGGGAAAGACTATATACATACATATACATATATATATATATATATATATGTCTATGGGATATAGTGTGAAAACAAAATCTCTGTGGAGAAAACGAGGGGGGGGGTGCTATAAATTTATGCAAATGCAAATGCTGTTTGCGTTTCGAATTTCGCAAGTTTATCTAAATTCATTGTCAACAAACAGACGCAGACAACAACTAACCACTAACCCCTCGCACCACCCACCACCTACTAGGCACCACCCACCAAACACCCACCCACTGTCAAGGGTGGGGAAACTGGAGCATTTTCTGCTTGTTGGAAAACTTTTCAGCGGACAAAAATACACCAAGGAAATCAACTGCAGCATCAAATGAAAAGTGCAGCCAATGGAAATTAGTCAAAGTGTTTGGTTACGCCCCCACCCCCTCATCCCCTCATCCCCACAGGCAGTAAAAAAATTCTCAGGGGGAAAGGGAGGGGTGGGGAGGTGTTTTTGGCGGCTTCTGTTCAATAATTTAAATTTACGCTTTTGCCGCTTCCGTAATGCTTAGTTTTTGTTCGCCTGTTTGTAGGTTGAGCGAAAGCCGCTTAACGGCTTGACTGTCATGTCCTGCGAGGGACTTTAAGTCCTTCCACACACACACACTCACACACACACACACCCATGTCAATTCACACGCACACTAGGGGAGGCAGAATACACGCACTGTAACTAACAAGTTCTCACACCTGCGGTCAAAACAATAATATTAATTTAAAAATTTACTTTAGACTTATAGAGTAAGAGGAAAAAGATGTGATTATTTTTATATTGTTGCATTAATTTTTTTAAATCCAGACTTTTTAAGCTTGTATAAAAATATGCCTAAATTTGTATAAGAAACACTTTAAATGCCAATTGCATTAATCGTTTTGAGATGTAAACTAATAAATACAATCATAATAAATTGCGTGTAATTTCTAGAGCACTCCTATTATTTCCACCGCAGCTGTACTGATGGACATGCAAATGGGCGGCCCCATTGAATTGTAAAATACACAAAAATGCATATGGATCGCTGAGAAGCTATAAAAATGAATGGGGTGCTGGTGGGCGAAGAGGGGGAGGGGAAAGCTGGCAACTGGATGGAGGTCGAAGTTCAAACATTCAGCAATCGATTCATGTGCTATATTTAAAAAGGAATTTTCGCATAGCCGAAAAATGCCAAAAGCCTTTAAGCCCCTATACGGATAAAGATATTAGGGGCAGCTTTTGCCATTCATAATTGCATCATGGCACCACAAAAAACCATAATGTTTTGTAAGGCAATAAAAACCTAACGATTTCAAAAAGGATCAAGTACTTTAAAACGCAAATATATTTCACAAATTAAGCAGAAAAGTTTAACGTTGGTAGAAGGTTAATTCTTTAATACAAAACAACGTTTTTAACCGGTAGCTTTTATTTATATAAAATTTCAATTTAAAGTGAAAAGCGGATGGGGGTTGCTTATAAACATTCCCCAATAATCAGATAATTGTGTTTAGGGGTTGTGTCGTATTTTTTGCGAGTGCAGTACTGTTGCGTGGGCGGAAAAGTAATAAAAATGGTGCACACAGGTGAACGGCAATGACGTGGACACCGAATGACGAGGACGATGACAATGGACCCTCCTGCGTGTTTGTGTTTGTGTTTGCGTGGCCATGGTTTCTTTTTTTTTTTTTTTTGTGTCTGGCACATAATGCGGTTTATGGGAAACATATTTAACGGCAACAACGGGAAAAAATAATAATGCGATTGTCATAGTTGCTCTTGTGGCAGGAATTTTGCAATGGGGCAACCGTGCGTATACTTGATGCCTCGACTATCTGACTCTCTCTCTCTCTCTTTCTTTCTGCTGTTGACTTCAACTTGCAGTTTGCCATTGTTGCCACGCCCTCCCCTGTTAGCCCGCCCTTTACCTGTTAGCCTTTGTTGCCTGGAAAAATAATTTATTAAAGTTTTCGTTTCGCTTTTATTGTTTCTTTTTTTTGGTTTTTTTTTGTTTTGCTATATTTGTCTTTGTCTTAGTTTTAGTTACAGTAAAACTTAACTAAGTGCAACTCTTTACGGCAAAGTTTGCCATTGAAAAAGGCTGGCAGTGACAATGCTTTTTAATTTATTTCAGCTTATATTTATGTTACAGAAAACGTGAAGCAAGACCTCAAAACGGATAGCTAAAGAAATTGTGGAATACTTTATGCAAATAGAGCTGCTTCTCAAGAAGTTAAGGTAACGAAACGAACATACTCTGTAAGTTAAGGAATTTCTATACAATATTTTTATATTTCTGGAGACCAATTTATGTGACTTTAACTAAATGATAAATAAATAATATACTATATGAATATAACAAATGATAATTTGATGCAGTAATATGGTTATATATATATAAATATATAATAATAAGTAAACTCTGCTCTGTTGCCCATTGACAAACTTTTAAGTCATTGAAGTACCGAAAGGTACATTCCATTACTTTCTGATTCAGTGATATATAAAGCCCGCATTAACGAAAATATAGGGTATATTTGGGAAAGTAAATGTTGAGAACTGACTGCAGAAGATGCAACAACACCCGGCAACTTTCATTTGCCAAAAATGTAGGTTAAAAAATGTTCCGCTGGCACTTGAGCAGCCAAGTGGGTCGCTGTTCTAAGTGCTTGGTGGGTGGTTTTTGCTGGGGAAGTGGGTGGTTTTTGGTGGGGAAGTGGGTGGCTTATGGTGGGGGAGTGGGTGGTTTTTGGTGGGGGAGTGGGTGTTTTTTTTGGACAATACTGGGTGAGTGACCAGTCGCTTTCTCTCTCTCTCTCTCTCTGTCTCTCTCTCTTGTTTCCCATGGCCAAAGTGTTGCTATTTAAAAGGGAAACAAATTCTTTGTATCTTTCGTTTCTTGGGCGTATCTTGGCAGCTAAAAATAGGACCTGCTCTAAGCCACATTCGCACACAGAGGCATTCGCACGTGTATCTATGTGAGCGTTTTGGGTGGATTGCCCTTTGGCGCTTGAGTTTATTTTTGCGTTGCATACAACTGGGTGCCGCCTATTGTGAGCACTCACACAAAGACACACCGACTCACACACACTTACACAGTCACACACTCACACACCCATAGACACATAATACAGATATAGAAATACTTATGTGCTGCCTTATACAAATTCTCACATTATATCGATTGCAAGTTGCTCCGTCTGACCAGGCATTTATACACATTTACATGCATTCATTATGAGTACATGTTCGCTATTGAAATATATCCATACATATTTTTGTATAGCTGCCACGCTCAAGTATTTTATTAATAATTTGCGACACGAGACTGCGCAAAATATTAGATCACAACTTATATTGCCCGAGGAGAAGCCATTAAGGAACAACTACAGCGCATATCCGATTTCACTTCAAGCAATTTATCCATATTAAAAAGCACAGAATGACTTGGCAGATGTTGGAAATTGAGGCATTTTATTTCCGAACTGAAAAGCCTTCACAATTCAGAGCAATTGAATTAATTTCAAGAAAAATATTAGTTGCCTTATTAAACAAATAAATTATAATTGATTAAATGTAAATCTCGAACTTTGCAAACTAACAAATAAATGTTAATTTTCCACTGACTATTTTGAGATATTTAAATGGTATTGAAATTGAATAGATTAAGTGGGAAATGGCATATTATATTGGCTAGATTTAGTGTTAATAATTGGCTTTTAATTGCACCTACCATTTGGGCAACGCAGAAACAGTGGCGAAAGTTGTGGAAGGGCACCTCGTTGTAGTGCTTGTAGACCTCGTAGAGCCATTCGCGCAGTGTATCCACCGGGATGCTGAACTTCTCGATGAATCCCAGCTCGACGAACATGGTCTGCATGAGGTGGATGACGTCGGCGTCCCCCCACTCGTAAGAATCGAAGGCCGGCAGGCGGAGGGCGGCCCTCACCTCCTCCGAGAAGGTCGTATCACAAATTTCCAGGAAGCGGCGCTTCACCTCCTGATGCTTTGGTAGACTGCTTTTACGATGCGGCGGCCCCAGCGGTCGTTTTGAGAGACCTGCGAAAAGAGATCGCAAAACACCGGGATTAATGGATGCAAATTTACTACAGTGATATCAAACCTAAATCAGACTGATGCAACTTAAAAATATAATCGGGTATCGCGAAATTCTGCCAGACTAGCAATCTAGCTTGACTTATCAAAGAAACTTTAAAGAGATAGTTACTAAGCCTGGTCTACTTTACCTTATTTATCATGATTTTTTTTTTCGAAAATTTAACAAAAAAAAACTGTGAATGCCACTCGATTGGAAATTTTGTAACGAATTCAACGAGATATGGCATTCCATTATTGGGCCATTATTTGCATTGTTATCGAAAAAATACTAATATTTTTGGGCGAAAATTTGTTGAAAATCGCATTTTTCGCATTATACATTTTTCATAAGGGGGTGGATCATTATTTTTTTCAAAAAATTCACAAATAAAGCTGTGAACGCCACTCGATTGGAAATTTTGTAAGGAATTCAACGAGGTATGGCATTCCATTATTGGGCCATTATTTGCATAGATATCGTAAAAAAATACTGATATTTTTTTTATCGAAAAATCATGACCTTTTAATAAAAAAATTACATTTCGAATCTTGCTTAGCTTCTTCTTAATGACAAGTTGTGCCCCAGACAGACTGCATTCGAGTGGAAATCTGTCGAGCTGTTCGGCTGTTCAATAAATAAATCAGGCAGTCGCAACAGGAAATACAGTCTGGCGATTCGACCCATGGCAATTTGGATTATTGCAAATAAAGCGACTGAGAAACACGGGCAAATCCAAGTCCAAATCCGACTGCGACTCCCGATCCAAATCAAAATCAAAATCAAAATCAAAATCCACTTGCCGGGCTGGAATATGAACGGAAATACATTGGCCTGTTCTAAACCGGTGGCACAGTTTCCTTTTCTCCTTTTCTCCGTTTTTCCATCTTCTGGGGCTGCCTCTTTTTTATTTATTTATTTTTTGGTTTTTTTTTTGTTTTTTGTTTTTATTCCAAGCGCCATAGGCGGGAAATTAAATTTTCAATCGGTGGCACGCTTCAATGGCTGAAAATGAAGCACCGGCCGACCTGTGGACCTGTGCCAGATAGTTCACCTTCACCGGCGGAAGCTGCCACGCCCCCCTTCACTCAGGCCACCGCCCTCGGGGCAGGTGCGATCCAGGAAAAGTTGAAATGTTTTGCCTCAATTTAGCTTGCAAATGAATCAAAACATTTTATGATTGCGGGCCACCCTTGAGAGGGAAATGAACTAGCCTTTATGTTTTGGCCGCCTAATGAAGTTGGCCAGCAGTCCTTTTTTATTCTGGTTTTCGGGGCCCAAAAGGAGGTCAATTTCGCATAGTGGTTGTATCGAAATTTCAGCCATTCAACATATTAAAAAGTCAAGTAAGCTTATGCATAGTTTAGTTTTAGGTTCGCCTTAATACGTTTTTTTTTTGCGTTTGCTAATATGTTTGATTTATATAAATGTAGATATATTTTTGCATTTAACATAAATATTTAATTAAAATAAAGTACACAAAATTGTAAGACATTTATGGTATGCTTGTAAATATTAATAAACATGTTTTTAATTTAAGTTATTTGCAAGACTACCTTGTTTATTAAAGTATATTAAGGATTTTAAATTATAATATGATCTGCTTTCTGTGTGAACTGCTTTATTTGAGCTCTTTTATGAAACCTTTAAAGTTTGAAGCCATGTCAAGCTACAATCTGCATTTATTGGGAATTTAGCATCGGGTTTTCCAGACTGATTTCAAAATTGCTTCCTTCCCATCAAACGACAAAGGAAAGTCCCCATCAAAGGACATTCCATGAAGGCCTCTTTCATTTGTCGTATTTTCAATTTCAAGGACCAGTCAATAGACCGTGGGTTATATGGATCGTTTCTGGGACAAGGGACACTAGTTCCTGTCTACTTTTCCAGCCGGTTACGGGTTGTGGGAATAAGGGTATGAGGGCTAGAATTTGCAAAGATCCCATTGTAATGAGAGTTGACTTTTCCGACAGTTTTTCCCCCCTTTGGCTGCTTGGTTGGAGGTTTCCCTCTATTCGGTTTCACCCACATCACAAGCGGTGCCACTCTTCGAAATTTGATTAAAACGGTTCCCTTTGAAGTGCAACCCCACTCGCACACAGATACCCACTCCCACACACACACACACACACAGACACTGGGACAGAAGTAGTGGCAGTGCCACGCCCCCCCACGGCAGACGGCCGCCCACATATGCTGCAAGCCAAACACTTTGCGGGCAACGGTTATAATTAATTTACTGCCACTTACAATTTTTAATTAAGCCGCCATCGCGTTTCTGATATGCTGTGTGTATAGACCAACTACACTGAGCGAAAAAAATAGAATTTAAATGTGATGTTTATTTTGGATTTATGTTATGAGAATAACTTGTAACCTTAATATATTATTTTCGCTTTAACTAAACTGAACTAAATATTTAGCGAGCTTGTCAAAATTCGTTTCATGTATTTCCTCTAATGGTTGAATAGTTTATATATTTCTGTTGTTGTTTTAAATGATTTTTATAGTGGACATTTATTAAATAATAAAAAAAAATAAGAATAATAAAACTTTTTACATTTAGTTTAAAATATTATGATTTATGTTTGAATGAATTGCTCAGTTTTCTATCATATCCTTTTTTATATCAGAATGGGAAATCAATTTTATTTTCGCAGTGCCATTTTTATTTGTTCGCCTCTCTATTTGCACACACTTATTGCCCCGCTGACGGAAAGAGAAAGTGGAAGAAAGTGGCAAGGAGAAAGGCAGAATCTGCGAAGGGGTAATGAACGGTTGCTTCGTTATTAACAGGCAGATTGATTTACAATGAGGCTGGGGTCAGGGAAATAGATGGATGGCAAAACTTCGTCTGCAGCCGATAATTACACACGATTAGCGATTCAGATGGAAAATTCTGCGAAGGTAAATGGGATGGGGAAAATGCGAAACAAAACATGAGTGATTGTAAGCGAGAGTAATGGAAGATTTGAATGGGAATTTAATCGGCTAATTGGGTTTCTGCTCGATGGAAAATTGTGATTTCACAAGAGCTTTTAAGCTAAATTGCACCAGAAAATTGGTTTGCTCATCAATTTAATATGGCATTTTCTGAAATTTAATTAAATAATGAAATTTAACGTGATACTTAATATTAACTATATTTATTTTATTTTTGGAATTTGATAGTTAAACAGAGAAATTATTAGCTTTAACATAATACGAATGTGGCCAGTGCACCGTATTTTATTAATCATGAGCTTCTGGTTGCGAAGGACTTTATTCTGCAAGGACCTTCTTCCCTGACTGGCAAAGAAAGTGAAATTGAATTAAAATTTTTTCGATATCCGGTATTTCCTTTGCCTCCATTCGAACGGCAGGTGACAGGTTGATCGATGAGTTCTGCCAGAGACTTATCCCAAATCCTCCGCCGGAAAAGTGTGTCTCTTTCAATGCAACTTTGATGCATCGGAATATGCAAGTATAAATTTGCAAATGTCACTGGGCTTTCCCCTTATTTCCTCATGTTTCTTTTCGCTTTTCCGCCTTTTTCCCGCTTTTTCCAACTGCAAAGCGACAGTCGCAGATGCAAAAAAAATATTGGCTGTCAATTATATTTCCCACACGAACAATAATATTGTACATACAAAGGGCCAAAATCAATGATGTATTGAAAAGTGACAATGAGACAGAGAGTAATGCATATTGATGGTTCTCTCGGCAATTTGCACTTGATTAGCAATCAAAGTAATTGTGCCAAGTGCAAGGCAAATAGAGGAAAATTCTGTTGAAAAATACTGTCCTTTTTGTTGTTGTTGTTGTAGTGAAAGTGAAAGGGGAGGGGGAGAGGGGGGAGGGGGGTGGCTCTGCAGTTTCGTTTGCCAATTTGCTGGCAGGACACACCGCAACACACAGGACTTGATAAATGAAGTCGATATATTTTGGCGAGCCGAGTTGGGGCAATAAAATTTGCTGCCAAATATTGCAATTGTTGCAGTGGTCTGTGGGTGGTGGGTGGTCGGAAGTGGGTGTCCCACCCCTTTTTCCCCATATTGCGCATACGCCATGTGTGGCAGCTGCACTCTACTTTGCCTGAACCACCTCTTGGTGGTCATTTATCAGGCTGGCACTCCATCCAAGTGGGCCCACTGCGTTTTGGCCAAGTGACGCACATTCTCCTTGCCCCATAATTCAATTGTTTTTACTTCGGAATTTGCGGCCTTCGTACGGAAAGTTTTTCTTTAGTCGGCGGAGTTCACCACTCCTGCCAATTGAATTTCATGGCGTACGTTAAGCGAAGCGACAGTTTGAATTATGCTTTGATGCATATTCGATGCCAGCTGACAGTCGGGAGATGCTGAGTGCAAAACCCGGACTAAAAATACAAAACTGTCATCGGGGAAATGCCAAAAGGGGTGGTTCTCTCGGGCCAACTGAGAAAATGTCCAGGTGAAAATGCATCGCATGAATTCATAATGAACAATGGACGGAAGGAATTTCCGTGAACCTAATAAATATTCAATTTGATGCGAATGAAATTAGATGGAAGTCGGCAAGGAATATGATTGTTGTTGGGCAAATTTAAGCTGGTTTTCCGTTTTATGGTTGCCTAGATGTGACTGAATTCATGTCTTCTCTATTTTTATCCGACTTAAAAATAATCTGGCTAAAGAAAATATTTCCTGGTTGCCGCAAAAATCCGTAGTCACTTCAAAAGAATTGTTTTCGTAACTAAATTTGGCAAATGTCATAAAAAGCTTCAATCGAAAGCCAATTAATTATATTTTCCGTCATACGTTGACTTAACTATTCTCTTTGTATTTTAACAAATTTTTAAAGCAATTCACAATTTCAATTAACTGTGCTAAATATTTCATTTGAATTTTTAGGCTTTCTGTATAAGCCTAAAAATTGTTTTAGTTTCATAGAATTGTAATTATGAATGGCAATCACGTTTGTATAACCTCATATATTTTCGACT